AAAGTGCTTCTCACCCACCCCCCACGAAGGGGTCCAGCCTGCTCAGCACCCCAGCTCTGCCCCACGCATCTGCTGTCAGACTCCCAGCAGTCTCTTCCTGGGACCCAGAAAAATCCTCCGGGAGACCAGGGAGGCCCTAGAGCCCAGCCTCCAGTCCCTTCGGTCCTAAAGGCTCCCCGCCGGCTGGTCTGGAGACAGGCGGCTACTGCCGCCAGCGAGCCTCTGGGCCGTGTGTTGTGAGTGACTGCAACTGACTGCGGGGAACGGCAACTCCAAGCAACAGTGGGGCTTCTCCACGCAAGGAGGCTGGAGATGGGCAGTGGAAAGGCCCATGTGCCAGACTCCTGCTGTCTTCCTGCTCTGCCAGGGGTGGCTTTTGTGCTCACGGTCACCAGACGGTGCCTCCCGCTCCCAGCTTCTCAGCCTCACTCAGGCAGCGACCAGCGAGTGGGGAAGGGCTGACAGCAAAAGCAGCGTGTCAGCTGTCCCTGGCCCCTCTGATCAGGAAAACAGTCATTTCCCAACAAGTCCCACCTGGCGGGTTCCCACTTCCGGCTCACTAGCCAGAACGAAGTCACACGGCCACCCCTGGTGGCAAGGGAGCATAGGCGGTCAAGTGTTGCAGCCAGTGCAAAATCAGGTTCTCCTGATGACATGACAGGGTTTGGGGAAGGCTGCTGAACACTCAGAATCAGGGGAGAGGAGGCAGTAAAGCCCAGTTCTGGGTTCCAACCCTGTGCCTCAGTGGCCAGGTGACACTGGGAATATGGCCCAGCTGCAAAATACAGCGATGATGTCTATTTCACAAGGGAGCTGAGTGTTAAGTGGGAAAATGTAGGCAAAGTACCTGGAAACAATCCCAGCGTTTGGAAGATGTCCACCAAATGGTAGTTAGTGCTTTTATCCACCAAAGGCCTTTGCCTAGGACTGTGTCTGCACATAATATGCACTCTGTAAATCCCTAATGGACTTCTTAATCAGCTAAGAAACCACCACTGACAGGAAGGCAGGGGAAAGACAGAAAGAGCTTATCTAAAAGCCAGAACTGTCACTTCCAGAAGGGTAATAGAACTGACATTTGGAGTTTTGCTTCAGAAAATACATCCCTAGGGGGTGTGTAGGCCAGTATAGGGGAGGAGATATATAACACCAGTGATCAGTAAGTGTCGAGCCTATGCTGGGTGGCAGGTGCCACTCAAAGCGTTTTAACATTCTGATTTAGGCTTCCCAGCAGCCCTTTGAGCTGGGTACTGTTATATTACCCCCATGCTGGTGATAAGGGGACTGAGGCTCAGAGAGGTGGAGGAACTTGTTGAAGGTCACGCAGCTTGTACGTGGTGGCGGTGCTAGGATCAGAGCCAAGGACAGGCCAGAGGGGTGTGAGCAGCCAGGCTTCTGCCGACCCCCTGCCTCCCAGGAAGATTTCAGGGAGCTCCGCTCCAATCCCACTCCGAGAGCCCAGACAGCAGCCAGGAAGCCCTCTCAGACCGTGGCTCTTCTCCCGAATCCCAGGGCGGCCCACCCTGACCCCCCACTCCCCTCTCGGTCCCATCAGCACTCAGCCTCCTGGGTCCCACAAAGGAAGCTCACATCCCACAACTGTTTAGTCGGCTGTAATCCCAGCTAAAGTTCACTCCTTGGGAAACACAACGTGGGGGGTGGTTGTGCTGGAATGTGTGTGGCTGGGACCCAGTGTCCCAGCCCAGATGGCAGGCCCTACCGACCGGGGCTGCGAAGAGAGCAGGCAGCCGGGGAATCCGGAGTCCCCAGCCCCCAGCTGTGCCGGAGAATGGAATGTGCTGCTCTGGGTGTTAAAACAGACCCAGCCAAGGAAGGGGGCGTTGCTGGGAGCTGGCGGAGTTGGGCCACAAGGCCTTCTCTGTTCCCCTGGAGGCTGAGCCCACTTCTTAGGGCCAGGGGTGGGCAGGCCCCTCCTGTTCACTCTGTGGCTCAGAAGCTCTGGGAGCCAGTGGGGGCAAGGCAGACGGGGGAAGGTGACAGTCAGGAGTGCTATGTTCTCCCAACATTTCTCTTATGAGGCAGCTACGAGGACCTGTGACGCTATTCACATCCCGGCCCAGTGGCCTACTAGCTATGTGACCTGCAGCAGGTTACTCAACGCCCCCCGCCGCCACCCCAGGCCTCTGTTCACCCACCGGTTAAGTGGAGAAATGACAGAACCTAGCCTCGGGGACTCTCCTAAGATTTCAATAACGTGCTCAGGGTGTCGTCTGGCACAAGTGCTCAATAAACATAGGTATCATCGCTATCGTAGGGCCACCAGCCGCAAGACGGAGAGTTCCGTGGAGACCAGGGGATGAACATGGAGCCTCGTCTGGCTTCAGCGTCCAAGGTGACCACCGAGGACCACAAAGGTCCTAGACGGCACGGCCAGGCCAGGGGCTGCCAGGGCCTCTGGAGGCTGCTCCCTCCGCTACCAAACCATGAAAAGACAGGCAGGACCCTCAACCCACACCAAGCTGTGGGAGCTGGTGGTCCGGCCCAGGGCTGCCCCGGCAGACACGGGGGCTGTCACCCAGCCTGGCTCCTGCCCCCTCCTCCTGGGTGCTCGAGAACTGGAGGGACTTTTAAGCAGGAGCCCAGCTCTGCAAAGGGCAGCCTGTCTTCCAGGGCACCACACGGGTCTTCAGCCCTCTCCACGCCGTCAGCCCCAACCAGCCAACTGTGGGGCACCATCCCTGGCCTGCTGTCCCCAGGGCCCTCACATACACTGCATGCGAGACCAGGAGGCGGCCCCCCAGCCTCCCTTCTGTGGAGCTGCCGACCTGCGAGGATGGGAACTGCGTTTCCCACACCTGTGTCCCGTGCCCTGCAGGCTGCTTGCACTACAGCCGGTATTTCACCGACAAGAAGCAATTTCATTTTCCCAAAATGAAATGATATTGACTCTGCTTATTTCAACTATACTCTGGCCTCTGAGATTCTTTCCTGAATGACAACCTAGATTATTCTCTGGTATAAAAAAAATTCATTGTTCGAAGCCGTCCAGGGCAGAGCTGTTTGTTCCTTCTCTGGGGACAGCCAGGATGCGGTGACGCGCTGGTGTGCGCTGGGCGCTTGCCCTGCGCCAGGCGCCGAGCTCCAGCCTCACGTGGACTACCTCTTCCAATCCTCACGGTGGCCCAGCGAGGCCGATGTCACTCTCGTGCCCATTTCACAGAGAAGCAGACCAGTGTCGGGAGGCAGTGCCCCTATTGCAGCTCCCAGGGCACCCCGACAGCCGATGCTGCAGCAGGACCCAGGGAGGGGGCGGCCACAGCAAACGCCCGCCCCCGCCACCCAGAGGGCGTTCCCTGGCTACTGCGGGCTCTGTGTCCCCTGCTCCACCGACCGCCGTGGGGAACGCGCCTCCTCAAGTGGACGCAGTGTCACTTCCACAGCGAGGCTGGGCTGGAAGGTATCTGGGCCCCCTTCCGACCGACCGACCGGCTGTGTGTGACACGTCCTCCCCGGCAGCGCCTGCACAGCCCGGCGCCTCTTCCCCCGGCCGTGCTGGCACTCCTGTCCCCTCCGGCTCCAAGGCCGTTTTCCTTCCCACTCCTCCGTCTTCACCGGTCCTCTGGCCCCGCAGACTGCTGAGGCAGCCTTATTTTATTTATTTATTTACTTACTTACATACTTATTTACATTTTAATACTTTTTTTAAAATATTTTTTATTTACTCATTTTTAGAGAGAGGGGAAGGGAGAAAGACAGAGAGAGAAACATCAATGAGCAGCCGCCCCTCGTGCACCCCCCACCAGGGATCTGGTGGGAAATTCAGGCATGTGCCCTGACTGGGAACCAAACCGACAACCCTTTGGTTCGCAGGCCAGCATTCAATCCACTGAGCCACATTTTAATACTTTTTAAAGTGAACGGGCTCATCTGTAAAAACTGCCAGGCCCTGGCTGGTGTAGCTCAGTGGAATAGCACAGGCTGTGAACCAAAGAGTTGCTGGTTCAATTCCCAGTCAGGGCACATGCCTGGGTTGTGGGCTAGCTCCTCACTGTGGGGCATGTGAGAGGCAACCACACACTGATGTTTCTCTTCCTTTCCCTCCCTCCCTCTCTCTCTAAAAAGAAATAAAACCTTTATTTTAAAAAAAAAGATACTCTGACTCCTTAAAAAAAAAAAAACTGCCGGGACAAGGTCCCAGCTGCTTCCCTGCCTCTCAGGGCCCCTGAGGAGCTGCTGGGGTCCCCAACACCAGGGGAAGTTTCTGAGCTTTGCGGAATCCAACCTGGACGAGACCGAGGCTGCAGGGTGCCGTGAGGACGCCCCGCAGCTCAGTCCGAGGTGCACATGCACGGGGCCGTCGCCCAAACTCCCTCCCTCGCTGCCCCAGGCCTGCTGTCTAGAAGGCATAGCTCCTCCCCTGGCCTGCAAAGTGCCATGCTAAGCCCTTCAAAACCACCGCTTAACATCCCTGGACCTCAGTGTCCCTGCCTGTAGAATGGGAAGTACAGCACCTGCCTCCTAGGTGCTATACTAGGTGCTATGCTCCGCTGTGAGGACTAAATTAAATACTGTGTGTAAAGCACTCACTGCAGTGCTTGGCAGCCAGGGGACACCCCATGCCCTGGCTTCAGAGGACGGCTTACACCCCGTCTCGGGACAGCCAATCCTCTTTCTGGCTGCCTGAGCCTTACGGAGGGCTGATCCTTTTTTGCTTTCTCAGAGAAATTAGCTAAAGTCTTTCCATTCTAAAGCCTGCATTGCTTAAGAGTTTAACAAATTCTGGTCCCGACCAACCCCAGCTCCCTCAGTTTGGTCACAAGACAGAGGCTCACGCCAACCCAACAACACATGCTGAGCCCTGCTGTGCCAGGCACGGTTTTCCTCCCCTGCCCCCTGCTCACTCCCGGCCCTGAGCCTCCTTGCCCTGCCGGCGCCCTGTCCTGCAGGCACAGCCCAGGCCCACATACTCGGCCGGCACTGGCGGGATCCAGCTCACCAGCTTCGGGGAGAAGGTGAACACAAGGACCAGGCCAAAAACATAAGAAGCATGAGGCCTTTTTATTGTTAATTTTCCATATACACAGAAATCCTTTAGTTCCTCTCCAGTGTAAATAAAGCACAGGGTACTTAACTCTCATCTCTGAACAGGACAGAGGAGCTTGAGGGAGTACACCCAGGCCTCCCTGCTTCCCTGCAGACTTGCACCTCACTGGCCTGGAGCAGGCCGCTGTCTTCCCAGCCCTCGCCTGACTGGTCGGCCCAGCAAGGAAGCTGGCCTACGATGGTCTCTGTCTCCCCAACCTCTCTCCTGGGTCTCTCCTTAGGGTGTGGAAACATCTCCAGCTCCTAAGGGCTCAGTACTCCAGGGCAGTATCCTAGGGCAGGAGAAGGCCCCATCTTCCTCAGCCCATTCCCTGTGCTACATGTTCCCAGGAACCATGCAATAAATAAATAAATACTTCGAAAAGGCAGGGCAGCTCCGGGGGAAGGAAGGAGTGCTGGGACCCGCTCACTGCTCAGAGACACAGCGCCTCGAGAGCAGAAGCAAGTGAGAGAGGATGGGGACCCCGATGGCCTTCTCCCAAAACTGAGACTGTCCTACTGAAAAACAGCCCTGGAATCTACGACCCAGCCTGGGGAGATCATATACTTCCCAGGCCCCCAAGGGTCAAGGGCTTCGGGACCTCTGCTCTGTTCGCCTGGTCTCACACTCCGTGAGACGCGGTGCTGGGGAGGGCATGCGGCTCTGAGCCAGAGGACGGGTGCCCGAGGCACAGGGCAGGGGAAGCAGAAGTGATCCGAGTACCTGGCATCTGCCCAGCAGGGCTGAGGGACACCAGGGCAGCACGTGGGCTGCGATTCTGCAAGTCAAGGTCTCTGCAAGGTGGGGCTGAGGTCCTTTGAGCTGCTGCAGCTCCCTACGTTTTGCACTGGCTCTGCCAGGCCCTCCTAGACATGCCCTCCCCTGGGGGAACTTGGGAACTTGAACCCTGTTTCTAGAAACCTTTTTGGTCTTGTTAGACTAGGTCATAGCATCTGGTGGGGAATAATGAGAGCCCAGTGCCAGAGGGACATTCGAACAGCAGTCATGGCACTCCCAAGCCCTTCTGCAGACTCTCAGAGGCAAAGGGCCTGGCCCAGTATCCAGCGGAAGGAAGAATCTCTTTTCCCAGTTTCTCATCTTTGTTTTCAGAGTGTTCCCAGCCTCAGAGAGACGCCCTGACCCTCAGAGATCCCAATCAAGACCAGGCATGGCTCTCTGCTGCCCTCTAGCTTACGCTGCCTGCCCAGCCCTGAGTCTGCTGACAGCTTAGGACAGAGCAAGACAAACATGCCAGGCCCTCCAGGGGCTCCTGTCCCCTATGAGGTTTGAGAGCAGCCATCACGGCCACCTGCAGGAGGGGGGAACAGCTGCAGAACCTGGCTGGAGACAGCAAGGGCAGAAAGGGGAAGCCTACCTAGCGTTTGGGCCACATTTGCCCAGCACACGCCACAGGGGGCTAGGGACAGGGAGAGTGGGGTCTATTGCTGGCCAGGAACCAGCACCTGCTTGGACCGTGTCCCTCTTCTCACTTGCTCAAGGTCTGGTTACACGAGGCACACACAAACACAGTCTCTCTCTGGGCTTCGGGGGCTGAAAAGGAGGAAGAACTTGGTGAGACGCTTCCTCGTGCCCTTTGGCTCATGACCCCAACTACCAGAGCCACCTCCCCAGCCCCCAAACCCCACGGAGCACCCACTGCCCAGCCCACACCCTCGCGGGCCCAGCTCGCTGGCCGGCTCTTGGAGACTCCTCTTTTCATACGGGAACGAGGTTTCTTGGGGGTGGCCAGGCCAGCAGCAGGCTTCTCCCAGGCTTTCTATGCATCAGAAATGACTTTGCCACCAACTCAACACCCTCAAAAATGTTTTTAAGTAAAGTACAGAAGAAAAACTTCCAAAATGTTTTAATAGTGGCTTTCCTGGGTGGCAAGGTCGTAGGATTCTTCTCCTCCTCCTGCCTCTTCTACACAGTCATTTCCCAAACTTCTAGGATAAGCACGTGCTACTTGCATGACCAGAAGGAGAAACAAAAAACCCTGATTTCTCGCTGTAACGCACAAGGAACCACGCAGAACAGGCTTCCTTTTTATGCACTTTCCCTTCGGGTGCCTTGGTGCCCTGCCTTTTGCTCACCTGTGTGTTTTGTTTGGGTTACAATGAGTGTGTACAGTACGTACAGCTTTTATAGAAGGAAAAGACATTCTTCTTTATTGGTTAAAAGTATTGCCAAGGCAACAAAAAGAAGGAAACTCAGGGTGGTGGTCTCCTCCGGGAAGGCAGGCGAGGCGCTGGGGAGCCTCGGGGGTGTGGCCAGCACTGCTCTGTCACCTTCGGTGAGGAGTGCCGGGCACTTGTCATCATGCTTTGTAATTCGCATACAGCATAAATACTCTTTTGCATGCATCAGGTACTTCCGTAGTTTGTTTGTTAAAGGGTGGTGGATGAGACGCCACTACAGGCCAGACTAGGACCCCAAGCTCCCCTGGCCTCTCACTGACCCCTCGCTCCTATCCCTTGGGACAGCACCTCCTCAGAGGAGGCAGGAACCAGCCAAGCCCTCCCACCACCGGTGGTGACTCCCAGCCGCCGGCCCCACGCACCTGTGGCCCCCATGGAAGACCTGGGCACCTTGAAGGAGCAGCACCGGGAGCAGAAGCTGTTTCCACAGTTACTGCAGCTCCGCTGCAGACATGAGCCAAGGTCAGTGTCAGACGCATCCCCAGGCCCAGGCACCTGGAGCCCCCAGCACCCCCCACTCCTCTGCACCCGCTAATCCACCCAAGGGACTGGGGACTACTGTGGGGCTGGGGAGGTGTCAGGTGGGGCAGGACTGAGACCCAATGGGACCCCCTCAAGACTTACTCTCTTCTTCAGCACTGAGAAGGTGGCCGAGCAGCCCGTACAGCTCCCTGAGAAAGAGGCAGTGGCTCAGCCTTGACCCAGCCTGGGCCTCTTTCAACAGTCACCCGTTCCTGGGTCTTCTAAACAGGGACACTCAGGACACCAGCCTGGCCCAGACTCCTTGGTGGGAGCAGTGAGCAAGGGAGCCAAGTCCAGATCCAGAGACGAAGGAAGGAACCGGTCTCCAGACTACACAGAGCTGCCAGCCCTGTTCCCTCCCGGGGCTCGGACACCCCACCTGCAGGTCCCACTGACGTGGCGCACCCGGCAGAATCCACCCCCGGGAAGCCACACCAAGCTGGCCGGCACCTGACAACAGGCCCCAGCGGCCTCGAATGAAACCTGTCCGACGCAACCCCTTCCCAAGTGTGCCCTTACAAATGCTCCTTACAGCTAACGAGAGAAAGGCCTCCTAAAACCCCAGACCCTGCCTTCTGTCACCTGAACATTGCCGGAGAGGATCTCAGAACCAGGCACCTCCCCAGACGACGTTTAGGGTGAGAGATGCCGGCACTGTGAATGGCGGACACAATGGGGTGCGACAGAGCTGGGGGACGGATGCTGCCTACACCCCAGAGACAAGATGACGAAGCCTCGGCCAACGGCAGAGGGGTCAATGGCAGGCGAGGAGATGGCTGGGAGGAGGCGAGGAGGGTGTAAGAGGAGACGGAGGATGGGAAGGAGGGGACACATCACTCTTCGAGAGGCCACTCCAAGGCAAGCAGGCCTACTGCAGGTGCTCCCCTCCCACCCGTGCCCCAGGGACAGAAAAAGTGGGTCGTCTGAGCAAGGGGTGCCCGAGGGTGAATGGAGAGGATCGAAAGGATGGCAGCAAACTGGTCTGGGAGGAGAGCAAAGGCCACCCTGGGCGCTATGACTTCAACCAGCCTCAGGGACAAAAGCAAACTCCGACAAGAACCAAGAAAGACCCAAGGGCTGCCCCAGGAGCACTGACTGTGGCTCAGCACAGGCACGTCCACGCAGGCAGGGGACCGAGCCAGGGCAGAAAAGCAGGGCCCGCAGTAGGCGCAAGGGAGTTCCCATCAGGGGGCCAGAGAGCCCTGTGGGCCCAGAAAGAGGCTAACTTGGGCCCTAGAAAAGCTTGAAAAGGGATAAGGCTACCGGAAGAGGTTTCTAGAACTTGGGGCCCAGAGGCCTCCAGAGCTCTGGCCAGACTTACTATCAGCTTCAGGGAGCACAGCTGTGCCTTCTGGAGGCCGTCTGGCCAGGTGCAGGCACCACTGCCGCTCTCACTGTGGTCACCCCCGGTGTTCAAGGAAAGGCGGACTCGACTAGGGCAAGGAGGAACCTGAAGCCAAGGTGCTTAAGGTACATGTGCTGCTGTCAGTCAGGTCGTGGCCCCAGCAGGGGACAGAGAGAAACAGCACAGCAGGTGCTGCAGGCTGGTGGTGCCTCCAGGACCCTGCGCCCAACACTAAGAATGTGGGCAAGGCAGCCTGCCTCTGCTTCTCCTCAGCAAGGGGGGTGGGCGTACGGGGCCGTGGAGAGGAGCTGCTCAAAGACTGACACCTGCCCATGTTTGGGGCGTCCTCTCTGCTGGACAGAGTGCCAGGACCACATACCCCAAGGCAGCCACGTGGTCTAGTGAAAGACACCGTAGCCAGGCATGGGCCTGGGGCCAAGGCGGGGCTCCGGGCACGAACAGCACCTCAGACAGGTGTATGGAGGAGGAGGGCACCCTGCTCCCTTCCAGCATCTGCCAAGTCCCCTGCCCCCGTTCTCAGAAAGGTGCCGACTCGCAGGGTGAAGACGCCATGGGGCGATACAGCAGGGAGGAGGGCACAGGCTGCAGGGCAGCTGCACCAACAGCACCTCCAGGACAGAGGGGCCCCTTCCATCAGGACTCTCGGCTTGGAGGCCAGAGAGAAGCTCCCGTGCAGCCGGTCCTCACCCTTCCCACACACCCGCTCCGTCCATTGGCAGCCGGAAGGGAACGGCCCCCAAAGCCACTCACCTCCCCTTGGCCAGCAGGAGCCAGACCCAGGAGCAGAGCAGGTACACCTGCCCTCCCAGCCAGAAAGCCTCTCAGGGAAGGGACAGCGAAAGGTCTAGAAGAATGGGGAACTAGGAGGGATTAGGGAGAGGAGCGCTGTCTGCCCTTGCCATCCCCACAGGGCCCTGAACGGGCCTTCACCAGGCCGGTAGGGATTACCTGAATGAAAACCAAATGCAGAAATGAGCAGACATCACCCCAGGGGCAAAGGGAGGATGATGGGTTAGAAAGACCACAGCAGCCAGATCAGGCGGCCTGCATTTGAATCACAACTCGACCATTAACCGGCTGAAGACTTTGGGCAAATCACTCTTTTCACCTCAGATTACTCAGCCTATAAAATGGGAACATCTAAGGAAGGGCCTTTACTTAAAATTCACAGATATGAGCAAATCATCTGCCAGAGCTAAAGTGTCAATTCCAACGTAGTGTCACATGGGACTCCTGGAGCCTGGCTGTTCCAGCCCCACGAGAACGGCCTCCCCTGTCACATCTGCCGTCGGGACTACGTGCCACAGCACACTGAGCACGGTGCCCGGAGAAGTCGGCGGTCGTCACAGACAGAAGGAAGGGGTCTCGCATGGCAGGGGCAGTCGCACGGCAGGAAGAAACAGCGGTCCAGGGCCTCCGGTCCCGAGGACACGGCCACCCTGGCTGCTGCAGGAACAGGAAGGCAGCCCCAGGATGTCCTGGGTCAGATTCCTCAGGACAAACCCGGGGGCTTCTCCCCAGTCACAGACCTCAGAGGTCACTGCCACCAGAACACAGAGTACAGCCCCCTCGTCCTCCTCCCTGGCCACTGACCCCGCACAGAAGCAAGGCTCTTCAGGACCAGGGTGACCCGAGCCACCCAGTCCCTGGGCTTCAGCCGTAACTCCACCCAGCTTAGCTCCCGTCCCCCTGACCTGAGCCAGGGTTCCACGCTGGGCTGCCAGTCCGGTGCACCTTTCCCCACAACTGCCCTCGCTGACCCACTGCCAAGCCCCCAGTAAAACAGGACTGGCCAATCTATGATCTTGGCTAGGGACCTCAGGGCCCTGTGATGCCCAGAGGAAGACACTGTTTGCTTTAACTTGCTCCCACCTGGATAGGAAAGATCTAGACAGGCTCCTCAGTGCCTGTAGGAGGGACCAGGGCCTCTCCTATTAACAGTGCGCCTTGTTAAGCACTTACTATGAAGCAGCCAGCACTGTGCAAACCCTTACTAAGCATTATCTCATTGGAGTCCCAAAACAACCCGTAAGAAGTATTATTACCCTCCTTGTATAAAAGGGGAAGCCGAGGCACAGAGCAGTTAAACAATTTGCTCCAGGACACCAGTGGAGCTGGGAGCTACCCCACAGTGAGGCCCCACACTCCACATTCAGCCACTGCACCACACCGCCTCCCGAGACCCTGCCTGTCCCAGGGTTACGCCTCCCTCTGCGGTCCAGGGGCGGCGGTTCTGGAGCCGAACTGCTTATCTTCCCACAACTCCTGCTCAGTAAGGACAGAGGGACAAGGAGGAACCTACACGCACTCTCTCAACGATCCCACTATGTGCTTCATACCTTCCCAGGGTCCCATGGACGCCACTGCACTCCTCGCACTTGTCCCAAAGCAGCACCCACAATTCTAAGGCTCCGGCCCTGTGGCCTGGCCCCCTGCCTGGCCCCCCTTCGCACCCCTGGGCGCCGGCCATACCGAAGTTGTTGGTGGGGTACCGCTTGCGGAGCCGCTCTGTGAGCCGAGACACCTTGCTACGCAGCACTTCGTTCTTGCTCAGGAACCCGTTGTCCTGCAGGGCCAGCTCGTCCTCTGCTGGGCACGGGGCACCCTCCTCGTCCTCCTGCGGGAACAGCTGCTCCCAGTCCTGCCCACCATGTGGCAGGGCTCCGGCGCCTGCGTGCCGAGGCACCCACACGGCAGACCCCACGGGGTGCGGGGACAGCTGCCTCGACCCCCCGCCCCCCGCCCAGCCCTTGCCCACCTCATCAGGGCTCCTACTCACCAGGACCACCAAGTGGGTCTCCTGCCTCCCAAGGTGCGGGGGGAAAAAGAAAACAGACAGATAGCAAGGAGAAGGAAGCTGCTAGGAGGGGCACCCCAAGCAAAAGGAAACGCTGGGGTGCTGCTGTGAGTCCTAAGCATGTCCCCAAGGGTGACATTAACAGAGGCCCCTATAAAAGGATCCCGACATCAAATAAGCTTGGGAGAAGCTATGTACTGTTTTTTTCAAACTGGGTGAAATTTATTAAGTGGATCATTATGTTAATAGAAGAGAACAGATGTATTTTTTAGGAAGCTTGTTTCAGCAATGATTTCCTACTGTAAAAAAACAACACTGCGAATGTGACAAAATGACAACTGCCACTAGGAGTGAGTGACCAGGAAAGACAGGGAGTGGTGGGGACTATGTGACTTTTCTAAAAAAATATTTTATTTATTTATCTTTAGAGGGGAGGGGAAGGCGAGAGGGAGAGAAACATCAATGTATGGCTGCCTCCTGTGTGTCCCCTGCTGGGAACTGGCCTGCAACCCAGGCACATTCCCTGACTGGGAATCGAACCCCAATGCTCTGGGTCGCTGGCCCGCACTGAATCCACTGAGCTACACCAGCCAGGGCTCTATGTGACTTTTCTAAGGGGCACAGTTACTCCTCAGCTACACTAACCACTGCAGACTTGGGGCCACCCAAAGCTTCTGATTTTTCAGAAATAAAAATGAAATCCAGTTTTCACAGAAATCTCCCTGTTTTTAAATACTGGCTCAAAAAAATGTTTAAGGTTTATATGCCAAATAAAACACTGCAAACTATCAGTTTGAACCACTGTCTTCAAATCAAAAAGACTCACTTGCTCTGACCTAGCACGTGGCCTTCGACCACTCTCTCCACCTCCCCTCCCCACCCCCACAAAGGAGCACCTTTCAGACCTCACTCTGCAGGGGACCCAGAGCAGTGCCCTGCCCCAAGTCTGCCTTCTCCACATCAAAGGTGCCATGTCCACAGTCCACAGGCCACGGTGGTAAATGACCCACTTCCCCCAGCAGGGCATTCCCCAGAAGCTTCCAGAGCCATCCCTGCCCTGGGCACCCAGGACATATCACCAGATGAGCAGCAGGACAGGTGGAAGTTCAGTCGCACCCTGCCCTCCAGTGAGACCTAGCTCAGAGCAAGTCCCAGCTTCTCAGTGGATATAGGAAATTTCAAAAATCCAGACTTAGGATGTGAGAAGCCACACGGCTCCAGGACCACCCAACTTCTGGCCTGGTCAGTGGAGGGTGCGGGGAAGGGCCACCCACCTCGATCGCATCTTTAAACTCCTCATCAGGCTCAGCCTCCTCGGCCTCCTCCACACTGCCTGGCGTGAGGTCCTGGGAAGAGAGACTGCATTACAGACAGAGAGGGAGCGTAGCCCTGGCCCCTGAAGCACAGGCCCCCTCCCCTGAGCCAGCATCCAGGTTTCCCAAAACGTCTGTTCCTGCCCCAGAGGAAATGGCACAACTGCAAGAGAGAAGGATGCCATGGGGAAGAGGTACTCTCTGACCCAGCAGGGACAGGAGTGGGACCAAGACCGTGAGGGACGGCAGGGCTGCACAGCGCAGTGGTTGAGGGTCTGGTCTGGGTCCTGGCCACACTGCCCACAGGCAGCTACTCTATGCCTCAGCCTTCTCATCGTCAGAAATAACCTATATGCCTCATGGGGCTGATATCTATAAAGTGGAACAGCAGAATAGCTGCTCAGTAAAGCACAGAGTGGCTATTATTATTACAATTATTAAGCACTTCGGAGGGGATGAGGCCTGGGAAGAAACAGGAACTGCAGCCCAGGAGCCATGGGGTATACACCAGCTGGCAACAGGAAGGCGCTGGAACCTGCCCACAGCAGGCTCTGCCCTGGCAGTGAGGGTGCTCACCTCTGTGGGCGTGGGCACAGGCGTGCAGTCCAGCAGAACGCCCTTCTCCCCAGCATCTGGGGGCGGTGGGCTCTGGAAGGCACCCTCTTCCTGGGTGGGTTGCATCCGCCGCTGCAGGGATGCCCTGTACTCAGACACCACTACCCGGGGAAAGGAGTGGGGTGGAAGGCGGAAACGGGATGGAATGAGTGGCGTTTTGGGGTGTCCACTTCAGCCGCTGGCTGCCTCTTCCTCCAGCACCCCACCCTCTGCTGCAGGAAAGAGTCACCCTCTTAATTCTGAACAGGTCACCTAACCTAAGCCTCGTAAACAAACAGGAGATACCACCACCTACCCTGTAAGACCTCTATAGAGAGATTCGATGTAGTCAGTGCTCAATAAATCAGGGATTCTGCAGCTAACTGCCCAACCACAGCAAGGAAAAGGAACATAGCAACCAGCAGAACCTATGTAGAGGCGGCAGCCTCTGTGACTCAGGGCCTCTCCATACTGCCTCACTGCTTCAGAAGCCAGATGGCAGACGGGGACTCTGGGATCACACAGAGATGTGGCAGCAACTTCAGGGAGCTGCATCCTAGGAGTCGGGTGGCAGCACTGGGAAATCCGCGCCCCTCCGTGCCCCCGCCCCTCTCAGAAAGACAGAGGGACCCCTTGGGTAGCAGCCTAGCAGCCTCCAGTTTCCCAGCTAACATCCCAGAGAGACAGAGCCCAGGAGAGCCCTCTTGGCGTGGTGCTGCCCCCTAGTGGCAGGTACAGCAAACAGATGATCAGCTGCAGAGACAGATGAACAAGGAGCCCATCCCTCCGGCTCTCCAGGGCTTACCTCGGAAGAACTCCACATTCCCTAGAAAGAGGGTGCTGTTTAAAAGGGCAAAGACCCAGCACAGCGGCAGCAGATAGAGCACACAAACTGTGCCCAGAAGAGCCCCGTAGAACCTGGATGAACAGAGGAACCACCTGGTCAGAAATTCATAAGGCAACAATTTGGAGCACACACACATAGGGGTCAGGCAAGAAATAGCTCTGTGCCGTTCATGAATGGACAAGATCTGCTGACCAAACAATGGACAACAGAGAGGAGGCAGGCTTTACAACAAGTCACTGGTTGCCAAAGACAGACCCTGGAGAGGCCACCACGGTGGCTGAGACCCTGTAAACGGGCTCAACACGCATCACTCCTGTCTCCAGACTTAAGTCTAGAAAAAGACAAACTTGGCTGTGAATCCAGGTTTGCCGCTTCTCTGGCTGTGTGCTGTTAGAAAAGTCCCTTGGTTCTCTGGGCGTCACTTCCTTCACAGGTAAAGCGGGGATTAAAATAGCGCCCACCTCCTGGAGCTGCTAGGAAGGCGAGACAGTACACAGGAAGCGCTGAGCTCGGGCCGATGCGAGGGGCAAACTGAGTATTATCCACAGATAAAGGGCCTAAAGAACGTTCCTTCCATGGGATCCAGCACTTCCACCTTTGAATTTATTCTAAACATTTTTTTCAAAAGATTACAGCTAAACCCATAAAAATGTTCACTATAAGGTTAGTAATAAAAGTAAAAACTGACTAGATGTATAACAGAATGGTTCCATAAGTCCCAGTATATTCACCATCAATATTAATGTGGCATTACAATAATTCCAAAAGCCATGCAGCAGCACAGGAAACCATTTAGGATCTGTAATGGGGAGGGGAAAAGGAAGCACACAGAATCGTGTAGGCTATGCAGCTACAGTGTATACGCATATGATCAAACTAGCAGTTGATCTAAACAGGAGATCAGCTGCTATATGGGGATGGGAGTTATTTTCCTATTACTGAAATATTTTTACCACATCTACAAGGCGCCTGTCTACAGAAAAGCAGTGCGTTCCCGCCTACAGGCCCAAGTGCAGGGCCTTTCTCCCCCTGGGCTACAGGCAGCTGGCTCTGCCTGGGGCTCAACTCCCAAATTCCTCCAGGGCAGCAGTGGTGAAAGCGGAGGGGCCACTCACTGTGAGGACACGGCGGGGTTCTCCCAGTGCAGCACTCGGTACACGGCCTCACAGGTGCAGCACAGGCGACTCAGGAAGGCCTCCAGCTGGATCAAGCTGCAGACACAAGGGGCTTCTGTGAGCCACACACCCTGCCCCATTCACCCACAGGGCCTGACAGAGCTGGGGAGCAGCAGAGCCTGGGCCTTCACAGGCACAGCTGGCTAGGGATGGCTGGTCTCTTCAAACCCTCTGGAGGGGCCAGAGAGCTCAGGAGAAAGTGCACACACTTCAGTCCCTTTGTGGAACCCCTGCTGAGGTGGACAAAACAGGGCAAAGGTTCCTGCTTTGGTCTCTTTCTAGCTATTGCTGAGGCCAGTTACTTACGTTCACTTAACTGGGCTGCCGTTTCCCTCTATAAAATGAGGAGCAGGGTACCCACCTCACAGATACACGAGAGCTGTGAGGATAAATGGCAGGAGGTAGATAGGTCAGTGTGTCTCCACCTAGTGTATAAGGCAGGCTCACTTGGAGTGGGGTTTTTTTAAATGGATATACCCCAGAAACAATGCGCACAAGCATGTACAATGAGTACTCAGGTTTTGGTTTCTGGAGGGATCTTGGCTATTTCTAAAGCTAGGGTAGGGGAAGTATAAGATCAATTTGAACATCCTGTTGTACCATAAAGTAAGGAAGCACTCAGCCCTGGCTGGTGTGGCTCAGTGGACTGGGTGCTGGCCTGCAAGCCAAAGGGTCACTGGTTCCATTCCCAGTTTAGGGCACATGCCTGGGTCAAGGGCCAGGTCCCCAGTAGGGGGTACACAAGAAGCAACCACACATTGATGTTTCTTTTTTTTTAAAGATTTTATTTATTTGTTTTTATAGAGAGGGGAAAGGAGGGAGAAAGACAGGGAGAGAAACATCAATGTGTGGTTGCCTCTTAAGTGTCCCCCCACCCTGGGGACCTGGCCTGCAACCCAGGCATGTGCCCTGACTGGGAATCGAACCAGTGGCCCTTTGATTCGCAAGCCAGTGCTTAATCCACTGAGCCACACCAGCCAGGGTACATTGATGTTTCTCACTTTCTCTTCTCCCTCCCTTCCCCTTTCCATAAATAAATAAATAAATAAATAAATAAATAAATAAATATCTTAAAAAAAAAAGTAAGGAAGCACTCAAAAACGATGGGAGCATATCGAAAGAACACAGGAGCCAGTTCAAAAGAGACCTTACTGGCCAAATCTATGACAAGCTGAAACAAAACAAATAATAACACTAATGGATTATAATACTTTGAATTAACTTTTACAATCTTGAGTTCATATGGCTAATAAGAACTATAGTAGAATGCCAGCTAACAATGACAAGTAGAAAAACTGCCTTTACAATCATCACGAGAATAAACTGGTGAAGGCAAGACCCATCAATGGATTTGAAAGTGGTAGGTGAGCCCTGTGTGGCGTGAGTCAGCGGGGGTAAGGGGAAATTTACATAAAAGGCCCTATTAACACAACTGGTAACATTTCATTATGAACTCTATACTAGATAATAACACTAGTGTTAATGATACCAATGCAAATTTTCCTCATTTTGACTACAGGATTGTGGCTATATAAGACAATGTCCTTGTTCTTAGAAAACACGCTGAGGCGTCTGGAGTAAAAAGGTATCGGGATTGCAACTTACTTTCAAAAGGTTCAGGAAGAAAAGATACATAAATGTGGGGAGAGACAGATAAGAAATGTAGCAAAGTGTTAATAAGGGTTCTATCTGAGTAAAGGACTTATGAGAGTTCTTTGTATCATTCTTACAACTCTTTTGTAAGTTTGTGTTTTTCTTGTTTTTGTACTTTCACAACTTTACCAAGTCATGTATGGGTTTACTAACTACAATGAAGCATTATGCCATCTATATCTTAATAAAGATTGAAAGTACGTATTCCAGTTCACTTTAGCTTTAAATCATTTTCAAAGTAAGAAGTGTTTTTCTTTTTTTTAAACCCAGACACCCAGGACGCACTCCAGATGACTGACTCGGATTTCCAGGGGGCGGGGTGGACGCCACCAGGCCTCTGTTTATAGCCTTTTTTTTAAAGCTCCACAGATGCCGCTGCTGTGGGGGAGGGATGAGAACCCCACCGTGGGTCAAGAAAGCCCAGTTCGGGGAGGGCTCACTACACGGCAGCTGCTGTTAAAGTCATGTTAATATTATTCAACAGTCTTAAGGTGCTTCCTCTCTGGCCCTGGCTGGCTAGCTCACTTGTCTAGAACAGCATCACAATACGCCAAGGTTGCAGGTTTGATCCCTGGTCAAGACACATACAAAAATCGACCAATGAGTGCACAAATAAGTAGAGCAAGAAATCACTGTTTCTCTCTCTCTCTCTCTCTCCCCCTGTCCCTCCCCCCTTCCAGTCTCTAAACTAAAACAATTTTTAGAAGTATTAATTGTCACATTTAAGAAGTTTCTCCATAGTGCAGTGACAATGACTGATATTTACTGAACAATTCCTGGGTACCAGATACTCATTTAATCTTCACAACCACCTATGAGATAAGCCCATTATTACCTCATTTAACAGATGAAGAACCTGAGGCACAGGAAAGCTGAGCAACTTGCCCAATGCTGCACAGTAAATAACGGTAAGAGCTGGGACTGGAACTTAGGCAGCGGCTCACGCAAGCACATGCTAAGTCAAGACCCCGAACTGTCTCTCCAGTGAAAAGAACACAAGCTGTGAAACCACCCGAACCCAGATCCTCACCCCAGCTCGGTCAGTCCCCGGCTGCCAAAGCCCTTTTCCTCATCCACAAATGCAGGATAATAACAGTAGCTACCTCCCAGAACTGTTAAAAAGATGAAAGGAAATGCCATCGGTGGCTTGCCTAACACAGTGCCTGGTGCGCCCAGTGTGGCGGAAGGCGTGACTGTGACTGTCCCTCACCTCCCCAGCCCCTTCCATACTCACAAGCTCTTCACCTCAGCCACAGCCTCGGGGCGAGACAGGCGAACTCTCTGCAGGTCCTCCTGCCTCACGCTGTGATACTTCCTGCGCATCAGCTCAGACTCCGGCAGCCGTGCCCGGCACACCTCCTGCAGATAGCCCAGGAGGGCGGGCACCGAAATCACCAGGGCACCCACCGAGTACCACGCACCTGTGGGATCAACACCACTGAAGGTAGGTAAACGGGCAGCAAGGGTCCGGGGCCTCGCCCACCCAGAGGTCCACGCACTCACTCCCTCACCCACTCCGGGGTTCGGCAAGAAACAGTGTCTCCCCGCCACTCTCCAGCTCCGAGCCCCAGCTTCATTTCCCCTCACAACTTATCACATGACCAGTCACAGGTACGGCTGTCGCCTGGTCCACAGATGCAGACTCTGTCGGGCTGGGACTGTCCGTGCGGCCGCGCCAGAGCACCAGATCCGTGTTTTTAACACTCAGCACCTTCACTAGCACACAGTTGGTGCTTCGTACCCGGAGCCTGGCGGGGGGGGGGGGGGGGGGGGGGGGGGGCCTCCTGATGGCTGACAGTCTGACCTTTGGGCCCCTGGAAACCCTTCCTTCGGTGTTCAGACTATCCCAGACCATTATGAAGTGAAAATGGTGAGGCTGAGAGGAAATCCAAAGAAACTTCGATGCGCCTAAGGCAGGCTAACAGGGTGCTGGGCACAGAGCAAGTGCTCGTCAAATATGTCGTGTAAACCGATTTAGTCCGGAAATGTGATCAGAGGAACTTAACAGCTTAGGAATGATATCTGAGTTTCAACCAAGCAAAGAGCCCACTGGGCATCAGTGGGAGGTCTCATGTAAATTGGGTTTATTTTCAACCCACTGGGTCCACGTACCTCCCTGGGAAACAGAGGAGGCACTTGAGAAACGTGGGTCCCACGGAAGAACGAACACATGGAATAAAGGACCCGGCTCCTCAGAACAGTCGGTTCCTGTCCTCTGTCATTTCCCGAGGGGTTCGGCTTTTTTCACAGCCCTCTGCGAATGTGGCAGGCAGCGTGCACACCAGGGACACACTGAACGAAGGGACGATGCCCATCCTGAGAGGGACAGAGCAGCATGGCGAGACTCCAGCAGGCTACTCAGACTGGCGCTCAATTTAAAACTCACAAACTGCTTATTTCTGGAATTTTCCATTTAATAGTTTTGAAAATATTTTTAAACCCTGTGCTAGCACACAGTAGGTTGACACCATGGAAAGCAAAACCATGAATCCCTGCAATAGATTGGCCGCTTACTCCGTGTCACAGAGCTAAGTGTTATAGACAGAGCATCTATCTCACTCTTCCAACCACCCTCTGAGGGAAGCGCTTCCTGTCCTCCCTCCAGAGATGGAAAAAGGCCTTAAGTCACAATGCCAGCCCTGCCAGGATTCTAGCCAGAGCATGTCTCTCTCGAACCCGTGTTCTGACATCCTGCAGACACTGAAGGAGGCCAACTCTAGGGCCAGACCAGTGGCTCTTTCACACAGGACTGCTTCTTCCCCTCATTCACTCACAAAAAAAAAAAAAGAAAGAAAGAAAGAAAAACCCAGCCCCTGGAAGCAGTTCTTACCCTCATTCAAAGTGAGGAACAAGACGTTGAGGCCCAGGCAGGTCAGCAAGGAACACAAAGGTGTCTGCCACCTACAACACAGAGCATTCTGGTCACCAAAAATAAGCCAGCCATTCCTCCAGGTAGGAAGAGGAAGATGAGCCAACACAGGTAAGTCATTAAAACCAGGAGCAAGGGGACCCACCCTGGTTCGTGTGGCTTGGTGGGTTGAGCACCAGTCTACAAACTGAGAGACTGAAGGCTTGATTCCAGGTCAGGGCACATGCCAGGTCCCCGGCTGGGAACTGTAAGAGGCAACTGATTGATGTTTTTCTCCCTCTCACTTTTCTCTCTCTTCCTCTCTCACAAATAAATAAATAAAATATTTTTTAAAACAAAGAGAAAGAAGGAGGTCTGAAGCTCAGTGTGTCAAGGAGAAATGAAAAGGGGGGTCTCTCATTTGGACAGGCAACTGGGGGAGGAGTTCAAGTTACATATTAGAGCCTGGGGTGAGAAAAGGTATCCTCTCAGAACTAGAAGACCTGTAGAACTTTCTCCAAAAAGAAAAATATCCACAATGTTGTCTATGAAAAAACCTAGTTAGGAGTGCACTTTCCCTTTCTACCTAAGACTGTCTTTCCCTGGCTAGAGCTGAAACAGCGAAGACGTCTTGCTGGAGCATGGTGGAGCAGACCTATGCAGGCCAGAGCAGAAGGGCCCAGAGCAGGGCCGAGCAGACCAGAGCAGGGAGGACCAGACCAGAGCGAGGCGAAGCAGGCTGGGCACGGCAGGGCAGGGCAGACAGAGAGGGCCCAGTAGAGCTGTCTGGCCAGAGAGGGGACTGGCCCCAGGGCCACCTCACAGCCTGCTGTTTCCACAGCCCGTATCACAACTGAGCAATTTGCACTGAACAGTTTCCTTCTCACTGAGCCCTAAATTGGGGAGTCCTGTCGGTGCTGAGCTGGTGCCCACAGCCACCTGTTGACACTTACATCCCCCCCAGCACTGGGACGCGCAAACGAAACCTAGTTAATACCAGTTAGCCTGTGTTCTGCAAGGTTCTATTCTCTCTGAAAGGTGACAGTGACAAAGACTCTTCTTTAAAATTTTCCTTTATTTTCTTATTGAGATATAATTTACATATAGCATTGTTTTTTTACAATTTCATAAGAACATATATTCCTTGCTCAAGATTTTCTTGTTTCTGCAATTTCGAGAGTTTCTTTTAAACATACATTAATTCAAAAAGAGAAACACACTTTAATATATTAAAAAATGAAGACAAAACCAGGGTGTAGCATTCTCTCAGCAAACACGCTCTAAGTAAACAGGAAGGCTGGAGCAAATGAAGACCCACCTTTCACCACCGCCACCCAAGGGCGAAGGAGAAGCCCCACAAAGGGAAGAGAGACCAAGGACTGCTGAGCCCCAGCTGCTGAGGACCAGCAAACACTGCTGGCTTAGTCCCTGATAAAAGACATGTAATAGGGACAAAGGAGCACAGGCGTAGCCACCAAGCCCCTGACACCTACAGTCTAAAGAGCAGCATCAGTATATTTAAGGTCAGCCATTGGAGGAGAGAAACATATAGAAAAATAAATAGGTAAGTTGCTGGTAATCAATATATTCAGAACTTAAATGTATTTTTCTTTTGCTCTGATTGGGGTATTTCAGTTATTAAGTGAGCTTAACTAATTTATATGCTGCTTTTATTTCTTAACAGTTATAGCAAGGGAATGAAATGACCTCTCTCTGCCTTTCTCTTAAAATTCAACACACTCCAACTGTACCACCCTAATTAGGCCTCCAAACCATCTAGTGGCAGCTCAGGTCTAAGGCCAATCCCATTTCAGAAATAAGAGCACCACAGAGCCACTGAAGTCCCCTTCATTTTAAATACTCTCCTATTCTATCCATCTCCACTGACACTTTGGACATGGAGACCTACCTACGGAGTAGCTGATCCCCAAAAGGAGAAGTCTCTTAAAAATCTGCTGCAACTCTACCCTTCAGACCTAACAGCCAGAGCTCAAGATTAGGTCCCTCTTCAAAGCCAAATCCTCTTTACTCAGAAAAGAACAATCAAACGCACAAACTAATCTGACAGCCACTGTCACAGACCAGCGCTCTGCCTCCCCATGGCACAGAGACCGCAGCTCCTGACAGCTCCTTCTCTACCCAGCTTTAGTCAGTCCCACCAATTCCTTAGATTTCTAATTTTGTAAAAGGAAAAAACCTAACACGAGTGCCAAGAAGGTTTATAGACCAGTGGCAGAAAAAGAGAAGGGCAGGATGAATTTAACTTTTGTGTTTTGCCCCAAAAAGGCAACACACACACACACTTATGTACATACATATACACACCTGCACACAAAGTAGAAAACATCGGAGAGCACAGCCCCACGCTCTCCAGAGCCCGCCCCTCTCCTAGAGAGAACTGAAATTCATTTCCAAGAGTTGGTTACAGTGGGATTATAAAATGAGCCTCTCCTCATACTATCCACTATTCCATGCACCAAAAGTATGGTGACCTAACAGTATAGAATATTGCTCTGGAACACTGACCAGCTCATCTCCAGAGATAATGCCATAAATTAAATGGGTTCCGGGAAGAATACGAGAAATTAGAGACAGTAGAAAGTTAAAAATAAACCTCCCACTATGTCCACGCTGAGGTGAGAATGATTAATCAACAGTAAGCACCCTTAGATGCTAACCCAGCTCTGCCTCCTACTCTGCCTCCTACCCGCCTCTCTTGAGCATCTTGGAGGGTTGAAGGTCTTTTATGAGACTACGATAAAATTGGAAACTTCTCCCTAGAAATATACACGTGCCCACATATAATTTTTCATTCAGGTTCAGGAGCTTCATATACCCCTAAAGCCAATAGCACAGGCTCCAGGGTAAGAATGCCTGCTCTTTAGGAAAACCAGGTTTTGTGTATTCCCCCTGAGATGCAGTATTAAGAACATATAACCTTTGCCCTGACTGGATGGCTCACTTGGTTGGAGCATTGTCCCACGAACCAAAAGGTTGCAGGTTCAATTCTCGGTCATGGCACATATCTAGGTTGCAGGTTTGATCCCTGGTTGGGTGCATAAGGGAGGCAACTGATGAATGTTCTTCTCTTTCTCTCTCTTCCTCTCTCTCTAAAATCAAAGAGCATTTCCTCAGATGGGGATTTTTTAAAGAAAGAACACTTAAATTTTTTTAAATTCTTTTTAATTTGAATCTAATCCAACCTTTAAAACTAACTTGCAGTTTGCACCATGAGGAAGCAACCAGATATGTCTATGTAGGAAGTTCTCCAGAACAGTAAGCTGAGTCTCTTCAGCAAGTCACTGTCATAAAAGCAAAAACCATTTTAGATTGAGAAATACTTAAGAGGCTGAGTAACCACAGAGAATGTATAATCTTGGTCTGGAACTGGATTTGGCCAAAAAAAAAAAACAAAAAAACTGTAAATGATATTCTTGGGACGACTGAGGATATCTGAATATGAGCTGAGTGGAAGAAGATACCACAGAATTATTGTTAATTTTTATTAACTATGATGTTAATTTGCTTATGAAAAAAGTTCTTATTTAGAAATATACAGAAGTATTTACGGAGTGGGATGGCACATATCAGTAATTTAAAATACTTTGACATAAGATATAAAATGAGCTGAAAGGAGAAAAGGAAAATTATGGATGAAAATCAAAACAGAATAGAAACAAAAAAATTTGATACCCATAATCCTAAAGGATTAGTGAAAATGGTAACTGATTCCTCATAGATGTTTCTATTTCTTTACTTTATGTTCAAAATTATATCCCAATTTTATTAAATTAAGCTAATATTGGATGGGGGAAAACAGCCTGCTCCAGATATAGGAGGCCCAACGTTCAAGGTTAGCTCACAGTCCTATGAGCTTATTCAACCACCAAGAAGCCCTGGTGAGAGGCCAGATGGTTCCCAGTGCCTGCCTCTCCTGGGCTGGGCCTGAGACACATGGTGGGCCTGGAATAAGCCCAGAGGCCCGATGGACCTCCCAGAACCTCTTTTCAATAGGGCAGAAAGGATAGCTCAACCACACTGCCTAAATGGCCAGCCAACTACAGAGCAGGAAGACAGCAAGTCAGAGCAATTGTACAAAGTCTGTACCTGAGCAAGTACCGAACACCGTCACCTGCGTCCTTCAGGGGTTCCAGATAGATCTCCAGCCTCTTGTAGGACAGAACCAAGTTGAAAAGATCAAACGCCGGGGACTTGGCAGGGGCAGGTGGAGACTCCAGGGGAGCCTCGGGCATCGCGCTGGGACTGGCCTCAGACCCACACCCCTCGTGCTCCGAGGACTGCATCCTGCAACCATAATAATGCCCGACATTCACATCGCACGTCCAAGGCCCACCACCCTTCTTGCCTTGTTTCACGTGGTGCTCACAGTCAGCCTCGGAGATAGGTGGGCTACAGGCAGCATGTCCATCTCACAGAGGAGGACAATAACACTCAGCAAGCTGAAGTGAATTACCCAGATACAAAACGCTGCTCTTCTGAGTCTCCACGGAATGTTCTTTTCCCCACAGACCCCTCAAGAGCACAAACAGTAAAGACCAAGCACACAAGGTTGCCGGAGGGAGACAGCCTGGGGTCTCAAAAGAACTGATGTCCTGAAATATTTTTCTCCCACTCTTCCTCTGGTTGACTCCTACTTCTACTTCGGGTGTTTGCCTTAAATATCCCTCCCTTACTCGAAGTCTTTGCCAACACCTCCGGTCCCGACTAGGAGACCCTTCCCAATGCTCCAGGATCATGTGCTCAGCTTGACATCATTCATCACACCAAAGTAACACTCCCCGCTGTCTTCCCAAGCTGCCCCTTTTAATTCTGAGCTCCACCAAGTCAAGGACTACGTCTTCCATCCGCGAATGTCGCTGCTCGCAGAGAGCGCGGTGCGTGAGTGAACTGCCTGCCCTCCGGGACCCCAGCGCGACTCCCGCGCAGCCCCATTCGCCAGCCCTTCCCTCTCCCTTTGGTCCCAACAACTTCCCGGACCATTCCAGCCCTCTACCCGCCCCTCTGGCCCCACGGAGCAGTCACCACCTTCCGCAACGCCCCATCTCCCTTCTCTGACGAGGAGAACCACAGGAAACTCGAACCCTCTTGCCTAATTTCAAAGTCCCACCCAAACGCCAAGCAGAAAACAAGGGGGCGGGACCTCGGGGTCCAGAAACATTAACCAGTCCCCGGCAGTGGGGTGCAATCTAACGGCGGGGGGCGAGGGGGAGGGTGACAAAAGGGCCACCGGGGGCCCGAAATCCCCGCAGGCCGAGTTAGGACCGAAGGACCCAGGGCGGGCGCCAGGCAGGAGCGCAGGAGGGGGCGAAGCAAGTCCGGACCACCAGGTCGGCAGCCCGCGGATCCTGACCGGGCCCCGCGACCCGGACCAAGCAAGGCCACGCCCAAGGTCGCCCGGCCAGCAAGTGGCTGCCCCCAACTCCCCACAGTCCTCGCAGACGAGGGAGTGGGGAGGGGGCGGCACCTGGACCTACCCGGTCGCCGGGTTGGTGGAGGGAGGGGCCGGGACGGCCGGGGGGCACCGATGGGGCCGCTGGGCCCCGGAGCGTTCGCTCAGGCCCACCCCACCCCGACAGCGCGCCTCTCTCCGATGCCACTCTGAAGCCGCCAGTCCGGGAACCTCCTCCGCCTCCCCCGCCGCCGCCGCCGCTTCCTCCGAGGGCTCTGCGGCGGCGTGCCCGTGACGCCAGCGCGCTCGCCCCGCCCCCGACCCCCGCTCCCGCGTTTAGCTCCGCCCGCTCCGGCACAGGTAACCGCTCTCGCCTGCACTGCGCCTGCGCGCGTTTCCCTCCCTGGCCGGGCCCTGGCTTCACCTTCCCCTGCGCCACACGGTTTGCAAAATCCTGCTGAGTCCTGAAAGCAGACGCTTCCGAACCACACTGCCTCCGCCTCGTTCTGAAAGACTTCAGCAGGGTACAGTTAGACGCTAAACTGAACAATTTACGTCTGCATCCTCTACCCCCAACTTTGGCACTTATCTCTCCATCCTGGGGACTGTGAACCCACTAAAGGCAGAAACCTGTGTACCTCGGAGGCCTAGTAGAGTGCACAGTTCCATTCAGTTGTTTCCTGAGCATATTGTGCACAGGTGCTTGCTTGTGCAAGCCTTTCCCAACTCAGTCCACGTCTCGCCGTGTTGGTCAGTTAATCGCCCTTAAAGCACACACCTGATGGCTTTGCATTAGTAGTAATGCTAACACTTCCTGAGGGTTTACCTGCCACCAGGCACTGGACTAAGCTCTCCATAGGCAGTATCTTACTTAGCTACCCCTCCTCCAACAACCCTATCAGGGTTATCTTCACTTACGGATGAGAAATCAGAGGCATGTTAAAGAACTTCATCAATGTCACTCAGCCAACGTGCAACTGGAAGCTTGATTTGAACCGTATGTGTCAACTGACTGGTGCACCCAGTCATACCACCACCCATCTTAGTCTTAATTTACTGGCCTCATTCCCAGCTTCTCCCCTTCATGAGTCTCTTCACTTTAGCCAACTAAACCCCTCCATTGTTTGGGCATTGCTTTGTTTGTGCTGTGAGGTTAGGGAAGAATACTGTTCACTCCTGCTTTGGTCCAAATCCAATCCATTCATCTAAGCAGGAGTCAAATATCTACCCCTTCCCTGCTTGCCCCAGCTGGAAGCAATCATTTCTCCCTCCCAACGGCCAGAATGTAGACAGAATCCCACATGGAGTAGTCAGTCCCCCTTTACAGAGGGTGAAGTGGGATCTGTTCCAAGACCCCCAGTGGATGCCTGAAGCCCCAGCAGATAGTATCAAAACTTACATATACTGTTTTTCTTTCCTATACATACCTACTTATGATATAGTTTCACTCATAAATTAGGCACAGTAAGAGGTTAACAATAATAACTAATAATAAAATAGAACTAGTGTAGCAATATAAGTAAGGTGAATATGGTCTCTCTCAAAAATATCTTATTGTAGCCCTGGCTGGTGTAGCTCAGTGGACTGAGCACGGGGCCTGCGAACCAAAAGATCGCAGTTCGATTCCCAGTCAGGGCACATGCCTGGGTTGCAGGCCAGTTCCCAGCAGGGGCCAGTTCCCAGCAGGGGTTGCATGAGAAGCAACCATACATTGATATTTCTCTTCGTCTCTCCTTCCCTTCCCTTCTAAAGATAAATAAATAAAATCATAAATAAATAAAATTATTTTAAAAATATATATCTTATTGTATTGCACTCACCTTTTCATTTACAGAAAGCATTTTACAGCTTCTTGTTGGCATTTTTTAATCACCAGCACCATTATTCTTGCATTTTAGGGCCATGATTAAGTAAAACAATGATTATGTGAACACAGAACTGTGATACCATGACAGTTGATCTGATAACCAAGATGGCTAAGTGACCAATGGGCCAGCAGCATATGCTATGTGGACACACCAGGCAAAGGGATGAGTCACATCCCCGGCAGGACGCAGCAAAACAGCACAAGATTTCATCACACTACTTAGAACAGCACACAGTTTAAAACTTATGAGTTGTTTATTTCTATAATTTATATTTTATTTATTTATTTCCTGAGAGAGAGAAAGGAAGGGAGAGAAACATCAATCAGGTGCCTCTCACACGCACCCCAACAGGGACCGGTCCATAATCCAGGCAGCACCCTGACCAGGAATTGAACCAGAGACCCCTGGCCTTTCGGGATGATGCTCAACCAAATGAGCCACACCAGTCCGGGCTATTTCTGTAATTTTTCACTTAATTTATTGGACCGTGGTTGACTACGCGTAAGTGAAAGAGTAGAAAGTAAAACGGCAGATAAGGAGGGCTAATGTATACCACCAACTATATTAAAAAATATCCCTACTTGTTAAAGGAATGGGCTCAGCTTTGTGTCTGGCCCAGGCTTGTCAGCTGGACTCTGCCTCTTCTCTTTAGGAAGGGTCTAGAGGAAGTAGAGAAGAAAACCTTTTTCCTTCGATAGCTTAACTACCTGCAATACCACCATCAGTAATTTACTCCAAAGGTAAATTTCAGTTTCTCCTCCTCGGGTCTGTCTGGACCTTTGGCCTCAGGCTGACTGTGATTAGTGGTATTATTTGTTCTCTCTTCTGGCAGCAATGGAATTGAGGGATCTTATTCAAGAACTCTTAGACAATTGGCAGGGGCTGGGAAGGTAAAAATTAGAAGATACAAGAAGCCTCCAAAAATCAGGATGAACCCTGGCTGGTATGGCTCAGTTGGAGCATCGTCCCATAAACTGAAAGGTGGCGGGTTTGATTCCTGGTCAAGGCATATGACTAGTTTGGGGGTTTGGTCCCAGGTTCTGGGCACGGTGACACAGATGGGTGTTCCTCTCTCATGATGATGTTTCTCTCCCTCTCTTTCTCCCTCCATTCCCCTCTCTCAAATATCAATAAGCATGTCCTAGGATGATGTTGTTTTCTTTTTTTTAGGGCCAGAAAGGAACAACAGTCACGACCAACAACACCGAGCAAAGGCTCCCTGGTAATTAGAGACTGGCCAGCTTTCCGAGGTCTAACTCTGATTTTTTACAATCAAGTTCTCTTAGTTCCTCCTCTCCCTCCTCCAGCACTCTAAGTCTTCATTCTTTGCCTCAAATCCTGGTGCCACTGATGCTTTCCCCTGGGTAGGTGAAAGAAACTAAGGGAGAAAATAAAATAGTAGAAGTTAATAATTAATACCTTAAATTGACATTTTTCAGAGGTCAGTCTTGGTATTTATAAGTGACAGGGTACAGGGCCCACATATTGCCCATAAACCTCACTGTGGCTCTCGGAGAAATTCTAGAGGGAAACATTGGGTAAAAGAAACTAGAGAAAAAGGAGTGGGAAGCGAAGGGAGTAGCTGAGCACACCTTCCTCCACCAGATGGCTCCCTTGTGCACTCTTACACTGACTTGGCGGTTCAAAATCATCTCTGAACTCTGAGTTCCTGGCTGTGGTCTGTCACGACGTTTCACAGTACAGGCATACCATTACGCTTAGCTTTATTGCGTTTAACAGATTTTTTTTAAATAAATGGAAAACAAGACCCTCCACCAGCAAAAAAAGCACATTACAACCCGCTTTATTGCAGTGGTCTGAGACTGAACCTTAAACATCTCTGAGGTCTGCCTGTATACCAGATCTTTTAACACTTCTCGCTGTATTAGTCATCACTTGCTATGTCAAACTTATTTCAAAATTTAGTGGCTCCACACAATAATAAATATATATTATCTCACACTGAGTTTTGGCTTTTGGGTGGTTTTGGTCAGGAAATCACGCGGGATTTGGTGGACAGTTTTGCCTCAGGGACTTCAGGCAGTTAGGTCAGATGTCCTGCAGGGCCGCAGTCTGTCCTCCATGATGGCCGCCTCACAGGGCAGGCAGCCGATGTTGGTGCTCTCATGCTGACTGGCGGGCAAGAGGTTTTAGTTCCTTCTTGCTTATGTCTCTCCAGAAGGCATCTGGAGGGTCTTCATGATGAGGTGGTTGACTTCCCCGAAACGAGAGGTCCAAGAGGGTGCAAGGCAGGCAGCCACAGGTCTTCTGTGATACATCCTCAGAAGTCACACTGTCGTTTTCACAAAGTCCTGTTGGTTTCATGAGTCAGGCCCATTCAGTGTCCCATGTCCCATTGCATAATGGTAGGAGTATAAAAAAGAGCATGACTACCTGGGGCCACCCTGCAGGCCATCTTGGATGCTGCCTACTAAGTGCTTTCAACTTAGAAAGCCCTTTCCCTCCACCTGACCTCCTCCCACTCACCTGTTAATATCCAGCTTGAATGTCAGGGCTTTGTGAGGCCTACCCAAAGTAACTCCTCCACTTATTTATACATTCACTGGTTGATTCTTGTACGTGCCCTGACCAGGGATCAAACTCTCAACTTTGGCATATCGGGGCACTGTTCTAAACAACTGAGCTATCCTGCCAGGCTGTCACCTTACATGTAAATCTATCTCTTGAATGTGATCGTTTCCCCCATTGTACTCTGAGTTCCTGAGAGCAGAGAGACTGAGACTTAATGTCTTGGCAGCCGCAGTTTCTGCCAAGTATAGAGCCTTGGTGTAGTGGATACTCAATGAATGCTTGCTTTAAAATAAATGGATAAATCATAAAATAACCAATGTTCGTGGGGGGTGGAGAGAAATCGGAACCCTTGTGCACTGTTGGTGGGAATGTAAATGATGCAGCCTCTATGGAAACAATATGGCAGTTCCTCAAAAAATTAAACATTAATTTAAAATAAACATTACCATATGATCTTGCAATGCCACCTCTGGGTATACGCTCAGACGAGTTGAAAGCAAGGCCTCGAAGATATATTTGCACACCTGTGTTCATGGCAGCATTGTTCACAATGGCCAAAAGGAGGAAGCAGCCCAAGTTTCCATTAACGGATGAATGGGTTGACAAAATGTGGTACCTACATACGATGGACTCTTATTAGTCAGCCTTAAAAAGTAAGTAAATTCGGACACAGGCTACAACATGAAACTTGGGGACATTAATTGTCAGTGAAATAAGGCAGTCACAAAAAGACAAATATTATATGACTTTGCTTTCATGAGGTACCTAGCCTAGTCAAATTCACAGAGACAGAAAGTTAAATAGTTGCCAGGGCCTCGAGGGAGGGGGGATGGGGACTTAGTGTTTAAGGGGACAGAGTTTCCATTTTGCAAGATGAGAAGGGTTCTGGCAGTGGACGATGGTAATGGTTGCACAACAATGTAAACACACTTAGTACCAATGAACTGTGTGCTTAAAAAGTGGTCCAAAGATGGTAAGTTTTGCCACAATTAAACTTTAAAAAAAAGAGAAGGATGGATAAACAAAGTGTGATATATCTATTCAGTGGAATATTATTCACCATAAAAAAGCAAAGTATTGTGCACACCACAACATGGACGACCTTTGGAAACATCATGCTGTGTGAAAGACGCAGACACAGAGGCCACGCACCGTGTGACTCCATTTACATGAAGCGAACGTCCAGAACGGGCAAACGCACAGAGGCAGAAAGTAGACTAGTGGCTGCCAGGGTCTGCGGGGAGGGAAGCATTAGAGTGACTGCTGAGCAGTACAAGCGTTCTTTGTGGGTTGGTGGAAATTTTCTGGGATTGCACAGCTGTGATAGTTGCACAGCTTTGTGAATATACTAAAACCATTGAATTATACATTTTAAGCCTGAGAATGTCTATGCTATGTTGTGTTAAATTTCATGTTACATGAATTATGTTCAATGTTTAAAATAAATGATTAGTGAAAGAAATACTTGACTGTTATGTGTTTTTAGATCCTCTTTAATATCTGGACTTTTTCTAGTGTTTAAACTTAGTGTTTGAGTGTATTGGGGGTTAAATAGCTCACTGCCTTTGCTTGGAAAAGTGTTCAGTAAATACAGCTCTATGTTCTTGTACCTGGAAAAGAAGTACTCATGAGTAATGAGTTTCCCAGCTGTGAGACACCGAGTTGTCCGACAAACACAGCAAGGAAATGAATGCCTGCAGTTACGTTCTTACTCAACAGCTCTTGGCAGCCATGAAAACAACCATTCATCAAACATCGGGCAGAGAAAAGAGTCATGCAGAGCAAGGCAATGAAAACCTTGTGGCCTCCTGTAAAAGAGAGTTAGCTGTCTACCAAAAAGTCCTGTTTCTCTTTCCACAGTATAAAGACGCAGCTGGGTAGCAGATGCCCAGCCAAAAACTACATTGCCCAGAATCCCCCCACCCACTGCCTATAGATCGGGTCATGTGACTCTCCTAAAGACAGGATGGAAGTGAAGTCACTTCTAGAACAAGGCATTAAAAATTAGAAATCTACTCCTCTCACCCTTCTCCGAAACCGCAGCTCAGCGCGGAGGGTGTGGCTGGACTGCAGAGTAGAAGAAGCCCAGAGACATCACACGGTAGAAAGCCTTCCACTAACCTGAAATGGACACAATGCACAGTTAGGCGAGGAAGAAGTAGACATAGGAACGGAAATGGATTTTTTCATACTAAGCTGCTGAAATGTTGGGGTGTATCTGCTACAGCAGCTAAGCATCAATTTTATTCATTCCATTAAATGACTATTTATTACATGCCTTTCATAGAAATGTAGAGGTGAATTCTGGAATTCTTCCCAAGAAAGGTTCTCATTCTAATTTGGAGAAGTAGACGGGAGAACGAATGGGAGATAAAACTCCAATAAATGTGCCACCAATGGAAGGACAGTAGGTAACCTACCAAAAAAAAAAAAAAATGAATAGACCAATTATCCATGAAGAAATGGAAAGAATTAACAACAAACTTCCTAAAAGGCATCAGGCCCAGTTTTTGGGGGGAAACATATTTTTATTAAAGCCATTAATAAAATTATATAATTAATCTATTCCAAAGAATAGAACAAAATAGAAAAACTTCCAATTAATTCTATGAGTCCAGAATTACCATCCCTGATACAAATCTTGGGCAAGAGCACACACACACAAGAAGTTTCATCTGGAACACAGTCAGTTTAAAAACAATAAAAAGAGCATGGCTACCGCACGCCTGAGCTGCTCCATGCTAGGCATTTACCCAGGAGAAGTGAGGGCATGTGTCCACACGGAGACTTGTACATGAACGTCCATGGCAGGTTTGTTTGCAAAACACCAACAACTTGAAACAATACAGTGTCCATCAGTGGTGAATGGAGAAATAAATTACAGCCTGGCCTGGCTGGTGTGGTGCCATGGCCTGAGAGCCAGCCTGCGATCTGAAGGGTTGACAGTTTGAGTCCCGGTCAGGGCACGTGCCTGGGTTGCGGGCCAGGTCCCTGGTTGGGAGGGAGTGAGAGGCAACTGATTGATGTTTCTCTTGCACATTGATGTTTCTCTTCCTCTCTTTTTCCTTCATTCCTCTGTCTCTAAAAGTAAATAAATAAGGCGGTTTTTTAAAAGTATAGTACATGCATACAGTGGAATAATGCTCGGTGATAAAAATGAATAAACTATTGTCACCACAATATCATGAATGAATCTCAAAATAATTAAGTAAAAAGAAGCCAGACACTACCCTCTTCCCTGGAGGGCAGTGGGGGGGGGGAGAACACATGCAGTACATTCCACTTATATAGACTATTCTACAGCCACAAGAGAGAGATTAGTGGCTGCCTGGGGTGGGAAGATGAGAAGAGAAAAGAGAGAATTTAGGAAGGGGCACAAGGAAGTTCCAGGGCATTATAGACATGTTCACCGTCCTAACTGTGGGGATAGTTTTACAAGTGTATACATATGTCAAAGCTCATCAAAGTGCGCATTTAAACTCTGTGCAGTTTAACGTACATTAAGTGTACCCTAATAACTGTTTGTTTGTTTTTTAAAGGACTATCTAGGCAACCACTTTGCCTTTCCAAAACTCATCCATGAAATGCAGGTGTTATATACACTCTGTTATCTGTTCCTATGAGGATGACGTAAATAATGAATAGGAAAATATTTTGCAAACTGTGAATACAGGAGGTAGGGGCATTGTGTAATCTTTATTACTATTAATGCCATTGTCGACAGTTTAGTCATGATTATCATCACTATCATAGTCATTGCAAAAAGACCCCACCACCTTGGTCTTCTGGCAGCCTACGTTACAATCACTGAGGTAGTTCATCAATTTAACTTAAAAGGAAAAGCAAACCCAGCAGGATCACTAGTTCCTAGGGACAGCCAGGAGGAGAAGGCTGAAACGCACAACAGGGTCTGCCAGGGAAGTGAGGAAAGACGTGTTGTGAAATGCCCAGATACGCAAGGGCTAGTTCAGAAGCCAAGCACACAGCTGTTCCTGTAAGTGCCCCTCGTGCCTGAACACATTTTCATTTGAGTGTAATCATAAAAGACCCCACGAACACAGAATGAGGGGAGACTGCGAACATGCCACTGCTGACACCTGAGAGCTCCTGGCCAGGTCACCTCTCCAGACGGACGGGCAGCCCCGGGGACAGGGAACAGGAAGTCCTCCCACGCTGAAAGGGGGCAGAGCTGCCTGGAGCCCAGAGGCATCGCCCAGGGGCTGCAAAAGGGAAGAAAAGGGAGCACGAAGAAGGCCCTTGGCTTCTGTAGAGAAAAAGCTTCGACCTTTGGGTAGGTAACAATAATTTTTAACACTTCTAGGCCACGTTTTCAAGAAAGCTAAAATCCGGACACATGAGAGAACAGCTGAGGGATCAATCCGAGGTGAGACTGCCGTTCCCCAGGTGGGGAGGGTGCCAGGCCAAAGTGGGAGAGAAGAGAATGAACAATCATGAGCACTTCCTGTGGCTCAGGCTCGCATTTCACAAACGTGGTCTCACGAAGTGCTCCCAGCAGGCGGTGCTGCTGATTGCTGGTCCAGGGAACCAATCGCCAAGCACTCTGCTTTAGGCCCAGGACCTCCGTAAGCCCTTTCAGCAGCCCAGCGAGGCAGACGCAGTGTGGTCCCCATTTAGTATGTGAAGGTGAAATGCAAAGAGCTTCAGTAAGTTGCCTAAGGCCATATGGCAAGTAAGAGACTAGGCTCTCCTCTTACTCAGCAGGCCGAGCTCACCTAACTGCCCAGGGGGCACGGAAGGAGACAGCAGAGTATAGGGCAAGATTGCAACAGGCTGAGAGGCTCAGTGTCCGAAAGTTCAGGTCAAGTCGGGCGGCCTCACCTATAGCACCGAGCCTTGAGAGGGAGGAGTGCTGGGGGGAGGGGTGGTGCTACACACCCTTCTAACACCAGGCAGACAGAGGGGACTGTCTCCAGGGCCCAGGAGAGTAACCTCAGCACAGTGGGCTGATGAAACATAAAGGTAACTGTCCAATTTCACTATAAACCGGGAAGAAAGAAGCTGACATAATTCAGATTTGCTATAGCTTTTCTCTACAGTCTTCTGTAGAGAAAAGGCCGATTATCTACAGTCTTCGGTAGAGAAAAGCTATTGTTGCCTTAGCGCAAGCTATAACTATTACAAAGCCCAGCATAGGTCTGGGCGGAGCCTTTGGATGGTTGGGAGAAACAGTTTGTCTGCTGGGAAGTCCTCGGAAACAGCATGGTATGAATAACAGAGATCTGGGTTTAAATTTTTTTTCTGCAGTCCAGTGCCCTGGACAGATCCAGTGCCTGAGCCTGAATCGCCACCTCAGTTAAATGGGGGTATTTAATACTTCAGAGGCTTGTGTGGATAATCACAGATGCCAGCTAAAATATTCATCACGTTCTTGGCTCACTGTAGACACTCATAAAGTTAATTCCCTTTCTCCCCTCTTCCCAACCTTGACTCAGAAGAGCGTTTAACTGGGAGGTCAGAGCACCTCCTGAGGTGTAGAAAGGAGAACCAGCGTTTCACCTAAGGGGGAGACAGGTATGAAGCCAGAGGGGCTGCTTCTGGGAGCTTTCTCTCCCTCACCTCCTGCTGGGGAAGGAACCTCACAGCTCTGGTGCCTGCAAGATTCCAAAAAGCCACCCAGCTCAAAGGAAGGATCACAGAACACGGAGGACAAAAGGGGCTTTGAGATGAGAAGCCAGCCTGTAACTTCCAGGCTGATGAGGTTGGTGTGGCCGACTATACCCTCCTGCTGGCTATGCCCGGGTGCTCTCCTTGGGTTCTGGCCACCTCCCCAGCAAACCTTTCCTTTGCCCCACAGGGCCCCCAGAGTCTCAGGCTCTCCTCCCCTCTTTCCTGCTGCCCCCACTAACTCGACTCCCCAAGACTATGAAGTGCATACAACCGCCCAGGGGTCCCTCCCTTTCTCCTGGCTGCGTGGGCGTAGAAAGAGCCAAGGAAGGAACAGAGTCAACCAATGTGAGAAAGTTAGGAGGTTCCAGAAAAGCCACAAAATTCATGCAGTCCCACACTATTCTTATGGACATTTAGAAAGGGTAAATTACATGGTTACATCCATCTAACGTATAGACAGGGTCAGAACTATATTATTCTTCACAGTAAGGAGCAAGTTGTAGAAGAGTTTGAATGCACATAATACACAGACGTGTGTGCACATCCATGTACATTTAACTAGTTACAAAAATTAAGGAAGGAGAGTTAACAATTAACAATGGTTTGTCCCTAGAGCGTGAAATTAGGATGATCGAGTGCCTTCTCTTTTTTACTTTGTGCACTTCTGAACAGTTTAATTTTTTAATGAGTATGTATCTCTATCATATTTTAATGGATACATACTGGTATTTATTTCACATATAACTGCTATAACAAACAAAATGATAAAAACGTAGTGTTAACTGGACCTTTCTCTATCATACCCCTGTTCTTTCCTCGTCTCCCTGAAAATATTAGTGTTAGGGCTCTCCTTTCTCACCCGACCACCCGCACCCATCCCTGGAAAAGCAGGAAAAGTAATAGACATACATGAGCAAACCACTTGGATTCCCCAGACTCAGACGGGCTCACGGACGTCTGTGAGGAGTAGCTCATTTCAACGCGCCCCCAGCATGAGACAGGAGATGTCAGGTTAGACCATTCCCAAACACTGTCTCCAGGTGGGAAACCCAACCTCCACCTAAACTTCACAGGGGGTCGCAGGGCTTAGCACCAGCAGCCGAGGGTAGTGAGAGAACATCTACCTTCCAGTCCCTGCCACTGCCCGTGCGGCCATGAACAAGGCCCTTCTCCTCTCCGGGGCTCCAGCTTCCCTGCCGCATGGGAATGTCAGTGCCGACCTCTGAGACTGCCGACAAGACCATACAAGGTAGTGCAAGTAGAAGCACATTTCCAACTGCCAAATATTTCACTGAGCTGGAGTAGAGCAGGGGACTTGCTAGCCTTTGTAGTAACGGAGGCCACTTTTCATTTTAGGTGAAATTCATGAATAGACGTGGAGAGAGAAAGGGAGGAGGGCAGGGTGTTTGGCAGCTGGTGGCATTTTCCCCCACTCTGGAAATCCAAAGTAGAAGAGGAGGGGGCGGGTGCATGTGTTCGGGGAGGAGAGCCAGTGTGGAGCACACACGGCCTCAAACCCTCGCCTGCAGCTGTTCGAAGTGGGTTTCGAGATCTGTTGGTAGCATCCTGTGTCCTGGCTGCAGACTTCAGGCCCAGGCCACAGGAGGGAAGGGCCAGAAAGGAAATCTGTTGACTCCCCTCCCACCTTTTCCAGGTCCTTCGTCAGCAAGCTGTGGCTGTGGCTAGAAGTGTGTGTGTGTGGGGGGGGGACACGACTGGGTGGGGTGTGTCCAGGAGCCCACACCAGAGCGGGCACAGTGCTCTCCGGAAGGGAACCGGAGCCTGGGCTCCAAAGGACCCACTCCTGCCCCTGCTGCCACTCCACCCTGGGGCTGTCTTCCCTTCCGTGAAGTGACGGGGCTGAACAACAGGGCCCTCTGGCTCCGTACCCACGGTCACTCTGTGTCTGACCATCAGGCAGTGGAACTTCCCAGACAGAGGGCCCATTGGAAGCTGGGAAGGGAGTGCCCGGGATTCCCTCCGGCTTCCCTTAGGGACAGACACAGGCAGGTCTTCCCCCCATCTGGTTCCTGTGTCCTACCCTAAACGCACTGGGAATCCGTGAACTCATCTTTTTAAAGATTTTATTTATTTGTTTTTAGAGAAGGGAAAGGGAGAGAGAAACAGAGAGAGAGAAACGTCAATGTGAGAGAAACACTGATCAGTTGCCTCTCCCACACCCTCCACTGGGGGGGACCTGGCCCACAACCCAGGCACGTGCCTTGACCGGGAATCAAACTGGCAACCTTTGCAGAATGACACCCGAGCCACTGAGCCACACCGGTCAGGGCTGTGAACTCATTTTTCTTTCCCTCCCAGAAGGAAAGGCGAAGCCGGGGAGGCAGACAACAGAGCCATGTGGCATAATGAGAAAATGGAGGGAGACGGGGGACCTGGCACGGGGGCTCCCTGCAGGGGCCAGGAGAGACGACACATTCACAGAGGTCAGACAAACCAATCTTTATTCAGAAAAGCATGTTAGTAATCACCACTGAACTCTTAAATGAGGCACATTGGTCCCCTCTCCCTACCATCCATCACCCCTCCCACGATGTCTTTTGGCCTTTGTAGAATGCTGGAAAAGCCCTCTCCTGGTCTGCGAGTGATCCCAGACTCCACACTGGGAGCAGTGGACTTGGGTGAGACTGAGTCCTGCAGTCCAGAGAGAAAGGCCAATGAAACTGCCTGCAGTATCCAGAAGTTCTGGGCCAGGTCAGGTGGCCACTCCTTTGGCACAGGGCCTCGAGCGGGAGGAGGGGATGGGTGCAGGGCCATCTTACATATCCTTCTCACATCTGGAGAAGCAGCTGGAGGCCAAGCTGAAGGCACATCTGGAAGAGCCAGTAAGCACTGGAGTGTCTCAGGCACATCTGGATGAACAAGGTACCAAGAAGGCCAAGGAGAAATCTACTCCTGAGTAAGGTCACCTGACCACAGACAAAGCACCATGGGCTGGGGGCACTCAGAAGACGTCCTCAGAGGCCTGGGTCTGGGCTGAGGGTGCAGCTTAGATGTCGTCTAACAAAAGGGACAAAAGCTGGAGCCAAAACCCACTGTTTCGGGCACAGAGGCACGCAGCTCAGTTCCAGGTGTTTGGGATCTCATGTCCAAGTCGCAGCACAAAGAGAATCAGGGTTTTTCTTACATTGGGGCAAAACAAGTCTTCACCCATCTTGGCTCGTCAACTGGATGGTGTCGATGAGAAAGCAATCCTTCCCTCTCCCCATGGCAAAACCGGTGCTGATGCAGACCAGAGTGGTACTGCCCGTCCAAGGAAGCAGGCCCCAGGAATCTCCGCGGCACCTGCCACACGGAAACCTGAAACAGAAGAACCGAAGTCACTGGGTTGGCGAGGCACTCCCAGGTGTCCCAGCAAAACCCACGCCCAGGTTCTGCCGGCACAGCGGTGGCCGCTGAGGGACCGGCTGCCCTGCCGGAAGTACGCAGGCAGCATGCCAGCCTAACTGAGACACTGCAGGGCTCAGTGTTCTGGGACTTCCCAGAGCAGAGCAAACAAAGACCACCACAGTTTTAATGGGTGCAAAGTTCAGTTTTGCGAGAAAAGTTCTGGAGATGGATGGTTGCGATGGCTATAGGACAATGTGGATGTACTTAGTGCCACTGAACTGTACACTGAAAAATGGTTAATTCATGTATATCTTACCACAGTTTAAATTATTTTTAATAACCATGTTTAATAACCATGTCTAACATTATTGGCCCCCTGCTACAATGAGGAAGGACCTAAATAAAAGCAAAATTATCTTCCAGAAGCCCTTTGTAGTACAGGCTTTCCCCACTAGGTGAGTGTTCCAGGAACCCATCTGTAGCAGTGTGCCAGCTGGCATTGTTGTGAGAGGCTGCATTCTGCTTCGGGGAAATTTTTTTGAAGACTCTGAACACGTTTGCCCATTTCATGATGGGTGATTTACAAACATACCTGCCCACACCGTGCGGAGTGTTCAGCAGTGTTTGACCAAGACTGGCAAGACCCCTGTGCCACACCCTCCCTATTTACCAGATCTCACCCCTAGTGACATTTTTTTTGTTTCCCATTTCCCCAGATGAAAAAAGTCCTTAAAGGTAAACATGTTGCCAATGGGGAAGAGCTGGAACAAAAAATAGCAGAAGCACTAAAAGGCATCAAAATTGACAAGTTCAAAAACTGCTTTGAGCAGTGGGGGAAAAAAACGTCCATAGGTGCATTGCATCAAACAGAGAATAATTAGAAGATGACTGAAATGTAAACTTCACAATTTTTTATAAATAAATTAGTTTTTGCCCTCCCTTCGTATATCTGTATAGTATGGCCTGGTCCTGAAGAGGCCACACTGCCAGGGTTCCAATCCTGGCTCCACCCTTCACCAGCTGGGAGACTTTGCTCAAGTTACTCAACCTCTCTGTGACTCATTTTCCTCAGACGGAATAAGGACATAGTAGCAGAGCGCACCTCCACGGGGGTGGTGAGGGGATGAAATGAGCAGGTCCGAGTGCCCTGCGCGGTGCCTGGTGCACAGAGGGCCAGGGCAGTGCTGCGGTGAGTGCGGATGCTCCAGAAGAGGCCCCACCCACCCACATCTTCAAACCTACCGCAGAGAAATCGAACACCTCTCCACCTAAGCCTCAACAACATGCTCACGAAGACACGTTCCAGCCTCCCCTATTCTAGTTTCCAGTCCAGAGAGGGGGAGAGTTTTTTGTTCAAAGAGCAGACCTTTGAAGGACTTAGCAGAAAAGGTTGGACAGTCACAACTCTTCAAACATTGTGGTGATTAATGGCACCCCACCAACTTGCTCTCCGGATAAAAACGTCTAACTTTTAGAGAAGGCGGAGCGCTGCACTTTTGTCCACAGGCCTAGGACCCTCCAGAAAACCAATTAAGTGTCATACCTCGAAGCGGCTGGGCCAGCTGCTCACCCCAGCTCCAGAGAGCTTTCTTCTGTCGTTGGCGAGTGGGACCGGGAGTCAGCACCAGGATCTCTTACAGGTAGCGCCAAGATCTCTTACAGGTGAGGTAGGTGCCTTGACTGGGAAATCATCTGGACAACTTTGGCTTTGTTTCCCAAAAGATGTAAAGGAATGTTCGAACCCACCAGTTCCCAGGCCTCAGGCTGGCCTGTTCGCAGCAGCTGTTTTCCCATCGGATGGGCCCTCCCTCTGTCAGAGAAAGCCCCAGGGAAAGAGCAAGCACCCCGAATCTTCAAACAGACCGTAGCTTATGGGTGGGGCCCCTTGGACGACGCAACGCGGGAGCCGGGACTGCAGGATACCCTAAGGTGGCAGAATCCGATCCAGGCCCAGAGGCAGTAAACACTGCTCTCTTGTTTTACAGCAGAGCTTCTCAGAGCCTTTGATCCGCTAGTGAAGGAGCAGCAGCGCCTTTGACAAACCCATTTGGCCTGGAAACCCTCGTTTGGAGGGTAACTCCTGCGCCAGGATCCCAGGGAAAGCCGCTGCTTTCCTGTAAACAGCGCCAGACTGGGAGCTGGGAGACAGGTCTCTCGTGTTATTCTGGCCTTTCTTCCGAGCAAGCTCTAGGGCTCCATCTGTAAAATTGAACGGGGCTCACCCTAACGTTCCCGGGCCGTCGGGTGGGGTCCCTAATGCAAGAAACTTACTGGGAGATGGCAATGGAGCAGAAGCCTGCGAGAGGAAGGCTGGGAAGCTAGTGTGCGTTTGGGCCTGGCCTCCGTGAACTTCGAGGACAAAGGTGGAGCAGGCAGACGCCAGAATAGAGCCCACAGGCCCTCGCCATCCATCCTCACCTTTGGAGATAGGCCCCACCTCAAGACACCAATGTACAGAGGGGTGGGCCGGAAAGGGCTGCGCAGGTTGCCCGCAAAATCCCAAACTAAAACCAAGCTCATTCCGGGACTAGCAGAGGCCTGTCCCCAGCTCCACTGGCGACTGCCTGCTCGTCTTTTACAGCACTCACGGCTGGAAGAGCGGCCGTGGAAAGGGAGTGTCCTTCCCACGGCGGGGCGGCAGGGAGGAGGCAGGGGCGCAGCCAGAAGACTGCTAACGATCTGGGAGCCTCCCCCGGATCTACGCGGCGCCTGTCCACGTCTCGATCTTAGCAGGAAAGGGGAAGAGGAATCGCGAGGTCTCGCCTGCGTTGGGCCAGTCTGAGTGCGCGTCCGTCCCGCGGGCGTAGCCCTGCCCGGGTTCCTGGAGACGGCGCATCCCGCACAGCGGCCTGGACTCGGGGCGGTGGCGCTGCCCTCTGGCGGGAACTGCGTGTCAGGGTGCCCGGGCGCGGGAGGCGGCGGGAAGGCAGAGAGCAAGGGAGGGCGCCAGAGCGTTCCGGCGCGGGGCGGCAGGAAGGGCTGGGGCGCTGGTCTCCTCGCGGTCCCCCGCCCCGCGGCGGGGCGTCCTCACGCCACCTCCTGCTCGCCCTGGCAGCGGCGGCAGCAGCCGTACAGCGCCGAGAGCAGGTAGAGGCCCAGGCAGAGGCTGCCGCAGACGGCGGCCGCCAGGAAGGCGTGGTAGGCGCAGGGCATCTGGTAATCCTTGAGGTTGCAGTAGCTGTGCTTCTGGGTCTGGTCGATCATGATGGCTGTCGCGGCGCCATAGAGCGCAGCCGCCAGCAGGTCGTGAGCCACGTTGACCACGAGCCAGCGCGAGCCCAGCACGGGCACCAGCTCGTGCTTGCCCAGCAGCGTCAGAAAGTAGAGGCCCAGGGTCAACAGCCAGAAGAGCACCGACACGAAGAGCGCGAAGTGCACAGGGCCCTGGTACCTGCTGGTGGCGATGGTGATCCAGAAGGAGGCGCCGGCCACCAGCTGCAACAGCCGGAGCACGCCCAGCGGGCTGCGCAGAAAGGCCCGCTGCAGGCGCACCGCACCGCGGGCCGCGCGCGCCTGGGGCGGCGGCTGGCGCGGGGGTGGCGGGAGCATGGCCCCCGGGCGCGGTGGCGGCGGCGGCGGCGCCCCGAGGAGCGGAATGGCTGCGCCTTGCTCGCGGGGGCGGCCCGGCCAAAGTGCCTGCTGCGCCCGCCGCGGCCTCCTCGCTGCGTCCTAGTCCTCCGCTCTTTCTCCTGCTCCCACCCTTCCTCCCCTCTCTCCTCCCCTCAGGCCTCCTCTCTTTCTCTCTCTCTCTCTCCACCCCTCCTACCCGCCCTTTCCCTTCCCCTTGTCGGTCTCCACCCCCACTCGCTCTTCCCGGCTTCCTGCCATCTCTGTTTCAGTCTCGCTCACCACCCTGGGGCCACCCTTTCCCGTCGGCGCCAGACTCGCAGCTCGGATTCTTTACTCCTCGGGACAGGGCGGAAGGCGCCCGCACGCCCCAGCCAACCGCAGGCCTTCCGCTACATCCAGCCTGGGTGAAGTTTGCCACATCTGGGGCCGCCCTGCCCACCCCGCCTGCCCGGCTCCGGTCCAGCCTTGGAGGGGGTGCCTTCCGGAGCGTTCCTCCAGTCTCTGGCTTGGCCCGGTTTTTCCTCTTCCCTCCCGTATTAGCGCCCACCAAGCTCTGGAGGAGAGCCGTGCTGGCCTGGAGCTGACATGAGTTCTCACCTGGTCATCCGGAGAGTCCTGCCCGTGTCCACCGCACACGCGTCCCGTCGAAAGCTGGGTTCAGACTTTGTCTCAGCCCTCCGAGGTCTCCGTGTCAGAGAATGGGACCATCGCCCCTCAGGGGCCCCACTGACCCTCCCACACACCACAAAGCAGAGTCCAGTCACTGTTTTCCAAACCTCCTTGACAGAGAATCTTGCCTACATTAAAAATATGCTACCCGTCACAGCCAGAACACAAACCCAGGTCCAAGAGACAGCAAAGCCCATGTCCTCAACCACTAGGCAAAACAGCCTGTAATGGATCCTAGTGATGCTTTACATCAGGGGTCCCCAAAGTCGGGAAGTGGACCGTACCTTCTGGGCCTGTTAGGAACCGGGTGCACGGCAGGAGGGGAGCCTGAATGTAAGGCACTGGAATCGTCCGGGGAAACCATCCTCCCCGCCCCCATCGGTGGAAAAACTGTCTTCCACAAAACCGGTCCCTGCTGCCAAAAAGTCAGGGACCACTGCTTACATCATTGTTATTACTATGCTTTTTATATATTCTCATCTGAGCGTCCAAACAACCCAGGTGATATATTCAATTAGTTTCCTCCTTTAAGGAGGAAGAAAACGAAGCCCACAGGGGTTAAGACCACAAAACTGGTTTTTGCAGCTGGTCTTTCTCTCTCCATTGACTCGACTTTTCTGTGCTGTGGCATCTTTCTAAAACAGACCTGGTTGTTTATTGCACAGCCTCCCCCACAGGGTCGGGCTCCATCTCTTCTCAGGGCACATTTCACAATCTGGCCACAGCCCACAGAGTTTCCTGATTTTTCACTTCCTTTCTTAACCTGTGATTGATTCCACCCAGAATTTCAATCTTATCAAACGTCTTAAATTTCCCAAATAAGCTTGGAATACCACTCATTCCTAGACCCCACTTGGCAGCAGTTCTGAGACGGCTACATTGTAACCACTGGTGCTTTTGTAACCATTGATGCTTTTCCATCTTTGTGCCTGGCACACAGGAGACTCAGTAAGTCAGTGGAGTGGATGGCTGAGTGACTGCAGAAACAGCAATGGACCTGAGAGGACCCCTTACCCTGGGGACTGGGCATGCGTCGGAGCCCTGGCTAACCCTTCCTACGGAACTCGTCCCTCATCTCCTGGCATGGGACGAGTTTATGACCTCTGGCCTGGCTTCCAGCACCCTGGCTCTCCTTGGGGGAGAAAATTGTATGTGGCTTCTCAGAGGGCTAATGCCTCTCACTGCCAACACAGCCCCACCTACGGGTGCTGAACAACCTCTGAATACATATTTTATTATATTTTTTAAATATTTATTTATTTTTAGAGGGGGCAAGGAAGAAAGAGAGGGAGAGAAATATCAATGTGTGGTTGCCTCTTGTGCACCCCCAAACTGGGGACCTGGCCCACAATCTGGGCGTGTGCCCTGATTGGAAATAGGCAACCTTTTGGTTCACAGCTCCCCTCACCCAACCCACGGAGCCACAACAGCCAGGTCCGAGTACCAATCTTGAGAAAGGCTGGGGCTAGGGCAGGCAAGTGGGGGGCTTAATCTGGGTGCTGGACTGATGACAAACAAACATTTAGAGAGAATCCTCTCTTCTTTTTATTTATCTTTAGAGAGGAAGGGAAGGAGAGAAACATCAATGTGTGGTTGCCTCTCATGAGTCCCCTGCCAGGAACTGGCCTGCAACTCAGGCATGTGCCCGACTGGGAATCGAACCACGATTGTATGGTTCGCAGGCTGGCGCTCAATCCAGCTATGCCAGCCAGGGCTGAGAATCCTCTTTTTAATAATTAAAAAAAAAAAAAAAAAAGCAAAATTGAGAGTGGGGCGCCACCTGGTGGGCATAGGCCTTCAGTCTCACCAGCCAAGTCCTACTCCTTACAAGGAAGGAAGTCAACACAGTGGCTTTGGGAGAGATTTCGAGCCTCTGGAATCTGAACACAGTCCAAGGGGCTGGCGCAGACTGCAAAAGTGTAACCATGCCCCCAAATCTTGATTCCTCCAACTCAACAAACATGTTCTAAGCACCTGCTGGATGCAAACAATCTGGCAGTGGAACGCAGGAAGAGAACCAACTGCCCTCAAAGTGTTTGCACTTACCTGATAGGGAAGGGATAGTTGTGGACACCAAAGAGCAATAGATGAGAATGATAAAAATACGAAAGGGAAGGAGAAAGTATGTGGGATAGGAGGGCTGTGGAAAGCTGCAAGATGAAGTGTCATTTAAGGGTGGATAGAATTTGACAAGCAGAGATGGGGGATAGGTGATCCTGGGCAAGGCGGTCCTCTGCACATTGTGGTCTTCCCCAGACATCAGTACCGGGAACGCCAAACATGCAAAACCATGGCTGCTCTTTCTCCCGCCGCTTCTCAGTGTTGTATTTGCAGCCGACAGCTTTGAGTGGTGAGGGAACATCTTGTCCCTGACAAAGAGCAGGCTTGCTTGCTGCTTACTAGAAAAGTGGTTTGGGCCCTGGCTCAGTTGGTTGGGAATTGTTCCACAAAGTGAAAAGTCACCAGTTTGATCCCTGGTCAGGGAACAAGCCTGGGTTGCAGGTTTGGTCCCCTGTCGGGATGCATAAGAGAGGCAACCAAGTGATGTGACTTTCTCATATTGATGTTTCTCCCCTTTATTTTCTCACTCCTTTTCCCTCACCCTAGAAATAAATATTTTCTTTTTGCCCTGACCAGCATGGCTCAGTTGGTTGAGCATCATTCCACAAAATAAAAGGTCACTGATTTGATTCACAGTCAGGGCACACGTCTGGGACCAGTCCTTGGTTGGGGTGTGCACAAGAGGCAACCAGTTGCTGTATCTCTCACTCTGATGTTTCTCTCCCTCTCTTTCTCCCTCCTTTCCCCTCTCTCTAAACATAAATTTAATTTTTTTAAATAAAATAAGCCTGGCTGGTGTGGCTCCGTGGATTGAGTGGCAGCCTGCGAACCAAAAGGTTGTCAGTTTGATTCCCAGTCAGGGCACATGCCTAGGTTGCAGGCCAGGTCCCTGGTTGGAGGTGTGTGAAAGGCAACCATACATTGATGTTTCTCTACCTCTCTTCCTCCCTTCCCCTCTGTCTAAAAATAAATAAATAAAATCTTTTAAACAATAAAATATTTAAAAATAATAAATAAAAACAAAAGTGGTTTTGGTAAGAGGGGACAATGGTGGGTTTCCCAAGCTCGGCATTCCTCAGCGATGATGCAGACCCCCCATGTGTATAACACCCACCTGGACCCCTCTGTGTTTCTCCCCTGACACTTGGGAATAAGGGAATGAGATGTAACACTGATACCCATCCTGCTTGCTGTGCCAAGAGTGGTAAGCCTTTTGTCTCTGGCTCAGCAATCCTGTGTCTTCTGCCAGCATGTATGAAACAATAGTAGGCTAGCTTTTTAGCTTGGATGCAGTGTAAATCCCAGGCCCTCACAGGAGTTCTAAGGAGAGGGAACAGTGTGAGCGAAAGCAGGGCTTAGGTTTTTGAGGGAACAAGGATCAGTGATGCTTGGTGGATACTCCAATGTCTAGAGGAGAAGGCAACTTGTAACAAGGAGGAACATTTGCCAGTTCTGAGATAACCACGGTCCAGCTCTTACTGTTCAGTCAATTCCATTCTCTCTTGTTCTCTGGGCTACCATAAACATACTGCATATATGGATTCAACTCCCACTGCTTTGACACCTGAATATGTGCCAGGCCTTGAGCTGCCACTCGACATAAATCAATTAACAGCACAGGCAAAATGCACAGTGAGAAAGATGGGTGCCTTAATCTTGCCTTGAATCTTATCGTTAAGTTACTAAATAAACATTTCTTAAATGCCTGCTATGTACCTGACACCTACTATGTGCCTACAATTATGTGCCTGAGCTGAAAGGGGCCATAAAGATCATTTGTTCCAGGTTTCTCATTTTACTGACACTAACTTTAGTTGAGTTCTGATAACTCCCTACCATTGGACCAGCCTGGGCTTCTCATTTTATGAAAGGTAACTGAGAATGTAGGTGACTTGTTCTAGATCACGCGGCTGGTTGGTGATGTGAGCGCCAAGTTTACAATTAAGGCCTCCTGACTCAATCCAATGTTCACTCAGCGACACCATTGGGACAGCACCCAGACAGAAAGTTCCCTGCAGCTACAGGGCCAAGGGCTCTGCGCAGGAGCTCCGCAGGTCAGGCCAGCACATGCACACTCACCTGTGGGCCAGGGCTCATGCCTCCAGGCCTGTTCCCAAGGTGGCTCCCACCAGGCTGTGGACATAGGAGCCCTTGGGGTGTCTGGGTGGAGTTGGGTAAGACTTTGGATTGCTCTAGAGTTTGTTAATCCAGTCCCCAAGGAATACCTGGCCTTTGTTGGGGCCATAAAAGCTTTGGGCAAAGGTCAGGGGTCATGTGATGGGCCTGGGCAAGAGGTGAAGGCATTCAACTCTGGTAAAGGTCAGCCCTCGCTCTCCAGGGGAGGCTGACAGGGACCAGACCAGGAGCCACAGGTACCTCCTGAGGCTTCAGGTGTGAAGCCGCCCAGCACGCTGGCTGTGTCCCTAAGACTAAGTAACTAACTGTGGATGACCAAGGCAGGTGGCCCAGAGGCCAGGTCATCAAGTGGCTGCCCAGGAGCTGCTCAAAGTTCCCTCCGGCTGGGACCTGTGGTGGGGACGTGCAGACCCCAGCAGACCACATTCCCGGGGGAAAGGAGGGGCCTCCCCTCTGAGGATGGACAACCTGGGCCGGGACGGATGGAGTCAGCCACACCACTGTGCCAGTCAGCCTCGGTAAAAGTGGCAGTGGCTCCTCAGGAATAACTAACATTTGCAGAGCACCGCCATGTGCCTGGCGCCACGCTAAGTACCCTCCACACAGGTTTCATTTACTTTTCGCAACAGCCTTGTGAGAGCTAGGGGCTATTAAACCACCTCTGCTTTAAAATGAGGACACTGAGACACAGGAAGCTTATGTGACTTACCTAATGGCCCACAGCTATTGGAGAATGCAATTCAAATATTTGATTTCCACTTTCTGGCTTTTCATCACTGTACATATCTGGCACTTCGGCTTTGGTCCAGGAGGCAAGACATCAGAGGACGGCACCTTAGTGGTGACAAAGACAGTGGTCCCAATTTTGGGGAGCTGGTCAGCAGGTAGGGGTCCAGGAGAGGGGCTGCTGCGGTGAGTGTGGTTGTTACAGGCCTCAGGACCTGGCCTCCAGGCCTGACCATGTGCGCTGTCTCCATTTCTCATCCTCCCTACCCACGGCTGGAGCTTTAAGGCAGGAGAAGCAGACCTCAGGGGGCTGGCAGAGCCCAGGGTTCCCATCTAATGATGTTCTGTGCGGGGTGTTTAACCAGCATCACCTTCTCAGCTCTGGCTACAACCTTGTGAGGTAAGTAATTCATTACCTGCACTTGACAGATGAGGAAAATGAGATTCAGACGGATTAAGCTAGCAACTAAATTTAGATTTCCAGACCACTAGAATGCTGTCTTAGTGTCTCCAAGTCTGCTTTAACAGTGAACACTCCTCAAAAGTCCAGTCTCACAATATACTCTTTGTAAGACATTATCTGCTCAGACCACAGAGCAAGCAAATGTGATCTCCCCTCCACTACCACTTGGGTTTCCAGCCTCACATTACCAGTGGGGCCTCTCAAAGGTGTGCTGAGTCATGGAGAC